CTTCCTTCCTTCCTTCCTTCCTTCCTTCCTTCCTTCCTTCCTTCCTTTCTTTCTTTCTTTCTTTCTTTCTTTCTTTCCTGTGATGCTGGAAATTAAATTCAGGACCTGGTACATGCTACATAATTGCTGCTCTACCACTGAACTGCATTCCTAGCACACTTCCCCTCCCCCTTAAAAAGGTTTCATGTAGCTCAGGCTTACCTGGCCTTGAACATACATAGCCAGAACTGCTTTGAACTCTTGATCCTCCTGCCCTACTTCCCAGGCCCCAAGCGCTGGAATTATAAGGTATATTACCATGCTGGCCCTTTTATTTTTTTAAAGACAGAGTACATTTTTAGATCCTCCTGCTTCAGAATCTCAATCATAGTATTAGCTGATAGTATTAGCTGTCTCGAGTTCTCGTCGAGATTGAGTTGGATGAACCATGTGACAGGCATATGCCAGTTTGTACCAATGTCCTCTGCCATGTAATCATGGTGGTGGCTATCACTGTGATGTTTCATTGGAGGCAAGGAATTCAGATATATAGATGTCTGCTATGGCCTCGAGGGGAAGCCACCACTGTCCATCCTACCTTGCACCCACGTCGCCTGTATTCAACATGAGAATGCGCCGCGTGGCTTGTGTCTGATGTACAACAGGACCGAAGGTAAGATGCTCCTGGTCCAGGGAAATCTCCAGGGCCTGACAGCAGCCGCTGAGGAGGAAGAGGGGACGCAGTAGTCCCATCCATTCCATGAACACTTCCTCAGAGAAAGGAGGGATGCGCTTCTTGGGGGCAAAGGTAACTTCCACTTTACAGACTTCTTTAGGCTTCAGGATGATATTGTGAAAGGGCTCCAAGGTGATGACCTGGACAGAAAGACAACAGAAGCTGATGGCAGGAAGGCATCCCAGGCCTCCGCACTGTGTAGTTTTGCTTCTGGGACTGTCTCAGCCCAGCGATCAAATCTCATATGTTACCATCTGGGTCATCTGTCATAAGTTACTCAAACCCTCCCCTTGACTTGCTCTTCAGCGAAGGGCAAGATCATGTCTGTAAAATGGGTAGCATATGACCAGGGACCCAACAAATGTTGGTTTCTTGTACTGTCCCATTTTTCAGCTCCTTGTGGGCATTTCATTCTTCCTTCCTCCTCCATGGTAGAGAAGACAGTAACAGGAAACATGAAACAAGAAACATGAATCCAGTACTTCTTAAGAAGTGCTTGTGGGTGGGAGGGTACCAGGTTAAATGAATTAAGCCAGATTCAGAAAGACAAAAATCCTATTTCTTCGCATATGTAGAATCTTGATTTAACACCCCCCCCCCCACACACACCATACAAGAAACAGGAGGGCTATGAACCAAGAGGAAGAGAAGGGAGGGGCCTAAGATAGCAATTGGAAGAAGGAAATGCAGAAGATTTGTATGCTTTTTCTCATATGCTGAATCTAGATTTAACATCTAAAACATGCACATGCGCGTGTGTGTGCACGTACACACACACACACACACACACACACACACGATGAGAAAGCAGAGGAGAGACTATCTGGGTGAGGATGGGACACTGTAAGAGTAAGTGTATAGGTACAGAAAAGGGCAGGTGGGGATGAAGAGGAAGACACACATATGTATTACACAGATAATTACACACATATGTATTTGTGTAACAATGTCATCACAAACCATTGTTTTGTATGCTAACTTAAACTATGAATAGTAAAGAGGAAGTACTGGGATCAATAAAAACCAACCCTATGGCTTGCTCAGGCTGGCTGACTCAGCGTCTCTGGAATGATATGGAACCTGCATTTTCTAAAATTCCCCGGGGTGACCTGGGTATCTGAAAAGTTCGGGAGCCAATGCATGAATTCCTGTCTGGCTGCCTCCTCCCTTAGTCCCAGTAAGAAACAAACCCAAAGCTACCCTGAGGACGGTCTTCTTCACATGCTCCAGAGCATGGAGCGGTTGGCAGGCAGATACAGTGGCTGCGGGGAGTGACGTGAGGGACAGAGGAGGGAACAAAACAGCAGGGCAGTTCTTGGGATGTCCCCAGTGACTCTGGGAGCCAGCCTGAGGTAATGGCTCAAGACAGGTCATTCTAACAACTCTGCTTGCTCTCTAAGGGACAATTTTATATAGGCATCTGGGGGTAGAGTTCACTGCCAGAGCACTTGTGCACCGAATGAAAGACCCTGGGTTCTATTCCCACCCTTGATAAAGAAACCATCCATGCAAGCAAGAAAATTGAGATGGCCAGACTGTGAATGGCCCTGAATGCCTAGGACTGAGGAGTTTGATTCTGGATTGATGAGGAAACGGGAACAAATTTTTCCTCTTTGTCTGGGTGATCAGGTGACGGCAGCCTCAGGATGAGATAATACTGACTGGGTTTCTTGCTCAGGCTGGCTTCACACAGCCAATTTTTCTGAATCCTGCAACATCCCCTATGGCTACCACCCCCCTTCCCAAAAGCCTCCCCATTTCCCTGCACTGACCTGGGCTTCCTGGAGCTCTGGGATGGAGAACATGACCGATTGGTTAAAGGTGATCTGGGCAAGGCTGTTGTTCACGAGGGAAACTGTTTTCTTTACAACCTGGCCTGGCAGGACGGCTCCTAGCTTCACGATCCTGTTGGCTGGGTCCAGAACTAGAATCTAGGTGACCAGAAAGAGAGTAGGAAGGCAGGGCTTGTCAGTCACTGTGGAGAACAAGCGCGATGCTTGTGTCCCATAGGAGCCAGGGCAGCTCCCTCTCTCAGTGACCTGCTTCAGGTTAGATGCACCTTCATTTCATCACTAGCTTTCACTAGCCCTGACAATAGAAACATGAGAACCCCTGAAATCTGTAGAAGAGATTTCCCTTCTTTTCAGTAACTCACCTCTGCCACTGTATTTAGAGCACACACACACACACACACACACACACACACACACACACACACACACACACACACCTGTGACTTTCTTTTATTCTCGGACTAGAAAAGCTCACAAAAGCCTCTTGGATTGTGGACCACATCCCTCAGGATAACCCAAATCTTGTTACTCATATTTGGCTCACAATGAATTATCTTTAATTCTCTGTGGAGCAAGAGCCATGCTTTTGACAGGGCATACCAGGTGGCAATGTCCTATGGCTCCTGCGGCTTGAGGAGAGGCGGCCACACAGCCCTCCCCTTGGTGGATTGTTGAAACATCCTATGCACTCTTGAGCATCTTGGATTCTCCTTTCAGACTTCTCCAAACTTCTGTTACAATACAAGTACTGCCACCAGACAAATACCACCAGATGCAGCTTCACACACCAGCAAGACAGGGGTGACTATCCAGACAGGACCACTGCCTATAGATCTGGGCCACCTGGCAGGAGAAGTTCCTGAATAATCCTGGGACCCAGGATGAGCTGGCTGAGAACATTCACCAGGGAGGGTGAGGAGGAGGGGTGGTTCACAGCTGGATCCTGTGTCTGAATAAGACATGCCCCCAAGTGGGACATTGTATCTGACATTTCACCAAGAACGTAGAACGTTTCTTTAGTGCTTGCAGTTGTCTGAGTTCATCAACACAGTGAATCTGGTTCTGAGTAAGACCTGAGATTCGCTTGATCGCAGTTTAAAATTTCCTTCCCACTTCCTATGATTAGGGACCCCATCTTGGCAGGGCTAGATAAGGGATGGAGCAATCCCAGGTGCAGAGGAGAGGAGGGGGTGGAGAGGCAGGTGGGCTCCCGTGGGCAAGAGTCTGGGAAGAGGAAAGGGGAGGGGGTGTTTCTGAAGCCCTGCCCACTGTCTCGTACCTTCATTTCTGTGCCTTTCCCTTTGACCTCCACCGTCTGTTGAGAAAGCCCATTGATTTCAAAGACGATGACTTCTCGGTAGTTGATAGCTTCCCGGGGGTAAAAGATGATGGGAATCTCCAGCGACTTCCCCGGCTTTATCACTTCCACGCTGAAGTTCACCTCAAGGTGTGGGGTGTTGGTGTACAAACAATCCAAGCTGGGGAAGACCAAGAGAAAGAGGTTTAAATGCCAAGGCAGACGGGAGGGACTAACCCTGCGCTTTCTGGGCTGATTTCCTAGGATCAGGGGAGTCACCAAAGAGCTGGAAGGGATGGCAGCGATGAGCAGCTCACGTTCCTCAGGGCGCAGCCAAGTGACTCAGCCTGTCACATCCTGAGATGCAGGTGGGAGCAGGTCACAAACCCAAAGGCCCATGTTTTCACCTCATTGATGCTCTGTTTCTTGGAAATGTCTCTCAAAGTTTTGCACTCTCTCGCCAGGGGGCAGTGCTTCAGAAGTCCCTGGCTGACAGTGCTCCTGGTGGAGTTCAGCCTGTGCTCCAGAGTCAGACAGACAGGAGTCTGGATTGGGATCAGCCAGTAACTAGCTATGCGACTTGGGAAAACTGCTCAGGCCATTTGGACCTGTAAAATGGGCTCAGCGGCAGCTGCTTCTTATGGTTGTTGTAGGTACCATTTTTTCCTTTTTTAAATTTTATTTTAATTAATTACAGTTTATTCACTTTGTATCCCACCTGTAGCCCCCTTCCCTATCCCCTCCCAATCCCACCCTCCCTCCTTCTTCTCCTATGCCCCTCCCCCAGTCCAATGATAAGAGGAGGTCCTCCTCCCCTTCCCTCTGACCCTAGTCTATCAGGTCTCATCAGGACTGGCTGCATTGTCTTCCTCTGTGGACTGGTAAGGCTGCCCCCCCCCCCCTCAGGTGGAGGTGATCAAAGAGCCAGCCCATGAGTTCATGTCAGAGACAGTCCCTGTTCCCTCTTGGGAACCCTCTTGGACACTGAACTGCCATGGGCTACATCTGTGCAGGGGTTCTAGGTTATTTCCATGTATGGTCCTTGGTTGGAGTATCAGTCTCAGAAAAGACCCCTGTGCCCAGAGGTTCTGTTGCTCTCCTTGTGGAGCTTATTTTTTTTTAAAAATTATATTATTTCAAATAACTTAAGAAAGATTTATCTTATCTTCATTTTTATATGTATGGGTGTCTTGCCCGTGTGTATATATGTGCACTGTGTATGCCTGGTGCCCTCACAAGTTGGAAGATCATCTCCGTCCTACTCCCCTGGGGAAGAAGGCACCTAGATTTTCTAGCAAAACTTCCCCTCATCTTCCTGCTGTGTGTTTAAAGAGAGAGCCCAGCTAACTGGATGCACAGAGCTCAAGGCCTTAAGGAGACCAAGATGATATCAAACTGTGAAAGAAAGACTATCGGTAGATGAGATTAAGATTAGAATATTATTTTTCTTTTGTGCATGTGAGTGTTTGCCGACATGTATGGATGCATACCATGTTCATGCCAGAGGTCAGAAGAGGGTGTTGGATCCCCTGGAACTGGAGTTACGGACTGTTGTGAGCCATCGTGTGGGTACTGGGAACGGAATGTGGGGCCTCTGCAAGAACAGCAAGTGCTCTTACTCACAGAACCGTCTCTTTGGCTCAGCAGAGAACATTTTAAATTCTTATTTGAAACTAAGCAACACTCCTGCAATTTAATATCTGGAATAAGAAAATTTGCACAGCAGCAGCAGCAGCAGCAGACAGTAACTGGACTGAGTTCCAGACATTGTCCAAAGTTCTGCTTCCAAGTGTGCTCTCCTGCTTCAGGCAAGGAGACAGAGGCACAGAGAATTTAACAATTAAAAATGTGGGCTTGACATGGTGGTACATATCTATAATCCTAATAATTAGGAGGATAAGATATGAGGATCATGAGTTCGAAGGCCAGCCTGGGCTACACAGTGAGACTCCATCTCAAAACTAACAGAAAATACACAGCCCTCCCACGAACAACAGAAACAAAGAAAGTAAAATAAATGTTCTCAGCATTGCAGCCAAGAACGAGCTGATATTTGAACTGGGATTTGTGGTAGGGACAAGACACATATAGTGATTAAAGTTGAAGTTAATTAAAATAAATTAAATTAAAATAAAGTTCTTCGGTCACACCAAGCCGTGTATAGGTGAAGGCCATCATACTGGACAGTGCAGAAAACAATGTTTCCCACTGTAGAATGTTCTCTGAAAGACTGCTGCAGGGATTTGCCCATGAACACAGGTCAGTGGCTGAACTTGATTCTCCTTCACTAGGCCTGGAAAGAGACCTGGACTGAAATGTTTTACAGGGACGATGCAGACAGGCTGGGTTTGATTTGGAAGATTCAGGCTCAGTACAGACTTGGCATTTACTACCGAGCAGTTGATGTTTTTTTGTTTTTTTTTTTTAAATTTTATTTTTCTTTTTAGTTACATTTTGTTAACTCTGTGTCCCAGCTGTATCCCGCTCCCTCATTCCCTCCCCAACCCCACACTCCCTCCCTGGTCTCCTCCCTGCCCCTTTCCAAGTCCACTGATAGGGGAGGACCTCCTTCCCTTTCATTTGACCCTGTTTTATCAGGTATCTTCAGGGCTGGCTGCAAAGTCCTCCTCTGTGGCCTAACAGACTGCTCCTCCCCTGGGGGGGGGTGTCAAACAGCCTGCCCTTGAGATCCTGTTAGAAATAGTCCGTGTTCCCTTACTTTGGAAAACTACTTGGTTACTGAGCTACCACGGGCCACATCCAAGCAGAAGTTCTAGGTTATATCCATAGATGGTCCTTGGTTGAGTGTCAGTCTCAGAAAAGACCCTGTGCCCAGATATATTTGGTCCTTGTAGAGCTCCTATCCTTTCCATATCATACTAACCTCCCTTCTTTCATATGATTCCCTGCACTCTGCCGAGGGTTTGGTTATGAGTCTTAGTGTCTGCTTTGAAACACTGCTAGGTAGAGTCTTTCAGATGCCTTTTGTGGTAGACTCCTGGCAGTTGATGTTTTAAACCCTCTAAACCAGCAGCTCTCAACCCACGGGGTGTGAACTCTCTGTGTGTGGGGGTTGCCTATCCGATATTCTGTACACCGGATATTTACATCATTACTCATGACAGTAATGAAATTAAAGTTAAGAAGCGGCAACGAAATAATTTTATGGTTGGGGGTCACCCCAACATGTCACAGCACTAGGAGGGTTCAGAATCACTGCTTTCTGATTTCTGATTTCTAATTAGTCATTCCTAATTATTGCACAAGGAAACGAAACGGAAGCTCCAGGACTTTGCATTAGGCAGTCACATGGCACAGCCCTCTACGAATCAAGAACAGGATGTTTAGCAGGTAGCTCACAGATGCCCACTTTTCATATCAATGGTGGGGCCAGGGACCCAGGATTCATACGATCTGTTTTGGACTCTTTTCCAGCATTTCTGTCTTGGCAGGATGAGCTAGCTAGCACTACCTGTCAGCTTGACACAGCCTAGAATCACCTGGAAAAACGTTTTAATTGAGTAAATGTCTTCAGCAGGTTGGTCTGTGGGTGTGTCTATGGGGGACTGTCTTGACTGTTAACTGATACAGGAGGGCCCAGCCCACTGTGGGTGGCACCATCCTTACGAAGGCGGTCCTGAGCTATATGAGAGGGTGAGCCAAACATGAGCCTGAGCCATGAGGTGAGCCACGAAGCAGCCCACCTCCATGGTTTCTGCTCTGCTTCCTTGGTTGTGAGTTCCCCATTTGAAGGCAATGCTATGGCGAGAAGCAAGCAGTCCTGGCTTCAGATTCCTGCCCCCGAGTTCCTGCTTTGTCTTCTCTCAATGATGGAGCGTGACTTGGATGTGTCAGATGAAATAAACCCTCTCCTCCCCTAAGCTGCTTTTGGTGAGGGTGCTTTATTACAGAAATAGAGATGAAACTAGAAGACAGGACTTCACCTGGGTGGAGTCTGTAGAACCCCCACGTTGCTACAGAATCATCTTGCCTCTCTCTGAAGACTGCTTACCTCATAGATGTTTCTTCTTTGTTGGTGATAACGAGGATTTGTTTGTATGGGGGCATCCCTGGTTGGTAGATGAAGCAAGTCCCAAAATTGTAGCTGGTGAAGGAGAAGTGGATAGCTGGGCTCACAGCACAGCCTAAGATGTTGCATGTGAATGTGGGGCCGTGGTTGATCTGCAAGGAGAGATGGGCCAGGGGACTGCAGTTAGAGGCAGGACGACAGTGCAGCTGCATCCAGGTGCTTTACAAGTCCCAGGTTTCAGGGCGCCACCTCTAGAGAGTGTGGTTTCAATAGGTTTGAGTTTATTTGCTTACAATCAGCTACTCTAACTAGAACCCACATTGGTTCTTGCTTTGTTCCTACAGCAATGGGTGAGCTTGAAGGCAGAATGGTTGGCAGAAATGGCTAGTTTATCATACAGGGTGGGACTGTGGTTGCCAGTCCTAGGTAGAAGGCTTGATTTTTCATCTTTCCTTGTGTTTCAGGTTAGCTATTGGTGGACTGAGTTCTGTCATTGGGTTGTAAATAAAAAATAAAAGGGAAGCTATATGGTGATGTTGCACCCCTTTAATTCCAGCTCTTGGGAGGCAGAGGAAGGGAGAACTCTGTGAGTTCAAGTCCTCCCTAGTCTACACATCTAGTTCCAGGACAGCCAAAAAACCCTGTCTCAAAACAATAACAAACAAACAAACAAACAAAAACCAACCAACCGAACAAACAAAAAACTCAAAATAAACAGAGAGAGAGAGAGAGAGGAAAAAAGATAAGGAGAAGGGGAGTGTTTCTTATCTTGACTAAATAGGCAAAGTCATTATCTATTTAATGTGGATGGGTGCTTTACTTGCATGTGTGTGGTATCCGTGGAGGCCCAGGGACAGGGATTACAGTTTCCAGCTGCCATAGGGGTTCTAGGAAATGAACCCAGGCTCTCTGGACAAGCAGCCAGTGCTCGTAGCCACTGATATGTTTCCCCAGCCTGTGGAACAAGGTCTGTTATCTTCTTGGTCTCAGCCTGGAGAGCTGGAGGTGGGAACTGATGGCCTCCTCAGCAGCGTCTCACCCCCAAAGATCTGTACGTGCTACTGTGATGCACGGCTGCCTTGATGCCAGGGAGTATGCTGACACTTTTCAAAGCCCCCTGGAAGCAGATGCTCCTCTAACTTGCCCCTTGTTTGTCCCTAAGTGTCACTGTCACCTTAGGCAGCTGCGACTGTTTAATAGTGGTCACTGGTTATTCTGGACACATGTCCTATAAGAAAAGAGGGTATAAAACGGCCAGACTTTGATTTGGTTGAAATGAAAATAAGCCCTGTGAGTAGAGGTTCCCATTGGACTTCTAGAATGGGGACCGGTGAGATGGCTCATGGGTAAAGGGCATGCACACACGCACGAACCTCTACGTTGGGAAAATAATGTCAGTTCTTTTACAATGGAGCTTTTGAGGCAGTCCAAACCCACTCTTCCTGCTCCAGTGGCTAAGCGCTTACCTGTCTATATGCTCATTGAAACACTCTTGATTTTTAAGACTACTGCAGAGAAGGGGGTGGTGGGTGGATGGGTGGTTGTTGTGGTGGTAGTGATGGTGGTGATGGTGGGGTTGAAGATGGGAACTCGGTAAACTGAAATACTATAGACCTCATTGTTTTTATGGCTCTGTAGTCCTTCTGGGATGAATGCCCCTAGGATGGTCAATTTCTAGAGTTTTGAGAAAGTTGGTTTTGTGAGTGTCGTCCTTGCAGTCAGAATGCGTTTTTCAGATGTCCTTCTCTGGCACCCTCCTGACAGTGCCATTCTTGGGTTTTCATTTGATACCTTATCTTGGAAAGTGTTGTGTGTATATATGTTCCCTGCCCCCTCCAGCTCTCTCACTTATGTTAATGTCTCGTAGTAGCACAGCGTGTAGATGGTCCATTGCTTTTCAATTGATGCTGGTGAGGCCTCTGTTCTAGAAAGTGTGAGCGCTGTTTCCGAAACAACCACTCTGCAGGAGCTGCTGGAGGTAGCCAGCTGGAGCAACATGTCACGGATCCCTTTGGCGTTTGGAAAACGTCAAATGGTCTCACCTTGATTTTGAGTTCTATGCCCTTCAAGACGCACTTCTGATACGGTTGGAAAGACAGGTTGGCCGGTTCAGACTGACCCACATCTACACTGTTGTCGGTGGGTGTGAAGTCCAAGTACTGCAATAGGGATTTGGGCCCAGAGAGCTCTGCCTGGTAGCTGAAGTTGAACTTGCCAGTGTTGATGAAGCTGAATTCACACAGAACACATTCATTTAACTGTACCTGAGAGGCAGGGAGAACAGTGCAGTCAATGGAAGATCCACAGATCCCTTGTCTAGGGAGGAATGTTCTTTGGGATATAAGGATGGAGAGTGATATTGATAAGCTAGGTGTTATCATCTGAATGGAATTGTACCAAGTATAGGGGTCTTATATCTCAAGTATGAGTTGGTAATTTAATTCTTAGACCTTTCCTGGTAGTGAAGAATCTTTCCTGTTTGTTTAATGCAAGTGTTCACGTCCCTCCCTACCATATTTGTCCTCTAAAAAGTAAAAAATAAAAACATTCACGTCACAATTACATAATCCTGAGGATGGGATCTGTTGTTTGCCTGGTCTCTCTAGTATTTGAGACAGAAAGACTCAGCTCATACTCAGTGCATCACAGCCCCTAGGTAAAGGCGGAGCCCCTAGGTGAAGGTGGAGCCCTTAGGTAAAGGTGGAGCCCCTAGGTGAAGGCGGAGCCCCTAGGTGAAGATGGAGCCCCTAGGTAAAGGCGGAGCCCCAGTCCTTGATACCCCTTACATCATAGAAGTTGATGGTGTTAATCTCGTTGGATGTCAAGAGGATGGTGGAGCCTGTCCTGTCCCTGCACTTGACCCCAGCATTCATAGTGTAGCCTTCGGCCTTGACATTGAGGGTTAGAGGCTGGGCTTTCTTCTTTACATTACAGATCAAGTTAAAGTTCACATCTCCTTCTTGCTTCGGTGTGAAGAAAATATCAACTGGGAACCTGGTTGGGAAACAAGACAGCAGATTAACTGACTAAGAAGGCCTGTGAAAATACAGTAAGACAAGAGTACACTAGATTATTAGACACACTATGAGCAAAACCCACCATAAACATCACTCCAAATTAAGTGAATTTAAAAGATTTTTCCATGTAAAGGTAGATACTGCTTTGGATTCATAGACACAAGACAAAGAAAAGGCTATGGACATGAGAATAAACATATTGAGATGAAAATTTAGATTGGGGCTGGAGAGACAGTTCAGCAGTTAAGAGCACTGGCTGCTCTTCCAGAGGACCAGGGCTCAATTCCCAGCACCCACAGGCTGGCTCACAATTGCCTGTAACTCCAGCCCTAGGGAATCTGATGCTTTCTTCTGGCCTCATCAGGCATGCACACATATGGTGCACAGACATACATGAATGCAAAATACCCATAGAAACATTAAAAAACCCTTAGAATTCTTAATGCCCCATAATTAATCAAGAAAACAAACACTATAGACTCAGACTAGAGATGAAATTATTTTTATTTATATCCTAGAGTTGGGAGAAGTTTTAATTTTATTTCTTTAAATCTTACAAAAAAACTTTTGGTCTGTAGATTTTAGTATGTTTATCCTATATAATATGGCTAATATCCACTTATAAGTGAGTATATGCCACGCGTGTCTCTCTGCTTCTGGGATACCTCACTCAGGATGATCTTTTCTAGTTCCATCCATTTGCCTGCAAATTTCCATTGTGTAAATGTACTATAATTTCTGTATCCATTCTGTGGATGACGGACATCTAGCTTGTTTCCAGATTCTGGCTATTTTGAATAAAGCTGCTATGAACATAGTTGAGCAAATGTCCTTGTATGCAAGGAGGACCCTAGGGAAGATGCTTAATTCTCATTCAGAAGGAAAAAACAGGATAGACACTGGAAGTGTTAGAAGAGTAGGAACAGGGCAAGAGCCTACCACAGATGTCCTCTAAAAGACCCCAACCAGCAGGGGATGGAAGCAGATGCAGAGACTCACAGCCATTAAACTTTGGACAGAGCTCAGGAGTCTTATGGAAGAAGGGGGATATAAAAGGACCTGGAGGGGACAGGAGCCACACAAGAAAACCAGCACACCCCCCCACCCCCCCACTGGGCACTGCAGACACTGATGCATCAACCGAGGACCATGCATGGAGAGGATCTAGACCCCCTGCTCAGATGTAGCCCATAGACAGCTCAGTCTCCATGTTTGTTCCCTAATATTAGGAGAAGACACAGTCTCTGACATGAACGCGGTTGCCTGTTCCTTGATCACTCCCTCCTGGTGGGGCAACCTAGCCAGCCCACAGAGGAAGAGGATCCTGGCAGTCCTGATGGGACCTGATGGGCTAGGGTCAGACAGTAGGAGAGGAGGACCTCCCCTATCAGTGGACTAGGGGAGAGAGATAGGCGAGGAGCAAGAGGGAAGGAGGGTGTGATCGGGAGGAGATGAGGGAGGGGGCTACAACTGGGATACAAAGTTAATAAATTATAAATAATAATAAAAAAGAAATAAAAAGCTCTCTCTCTCTCTCTCTCTCTGTGTGTGTGTGTCAGTGTGTGTGTACATCAACAGTATGTGTGTAGAAGAAAACAATGTGTGCAAGTCAGTTCTCTCCTTCCACCATGTGGGTTCTGGGGATTGAACTCAGGTCATCAGGTTTGGATGGCAAGTGCCTTTACCACTGAGTCATCTTGATGGCCGAGGGAAGATGTTGCTGAATGAATCTCCCTACTTCATTCTATTGGCTGGCAGGCCTGAGACCCTGCCACGCAACTAGAGGACTTCGTTTTTGCTCACCTAGTCAGTGGAGGGATCCAACCTTCCATGGGACATACAACCAGGTTGTTGCTGAACCCTTCGGAATAGCGGGAGTTGTCCTGGAAGGCAAAATTGAACCCATGCTCCTCCTTGTTGATGATCTGCACTGTCTCTCTGGCTTCTCTGCCTGGGGAGGAAACACCAGCCATCAGCAAAGGCCTCTTGCTTGCTCAACGAGGCACTGTAGCAGACAGTGCCTCACGCCTAGGAGGAAGGCTTCCCAGGGCGACCTCAGCAGCGTCCCGGGGACTCCTCAGCCACTGACCGCCTCATTTCCTTCCTTTCGCTTTCCCACTGGGCTTTCCTGCGCAGGGTTCTCACTCATTATTTTGTGTTTAAGCGTTAAAACAGTTATTTTCCTACAAAACCTAGGATGACCTTATCCAGTTCTCTCCCTTCCTCAGGATTTAAATCCCTTTAGGATTTAAGCCTATCGAATTTAGCAAATAACTTTCATTAACAGAAATGTGACCCAAATATTACTTGGGACATGGATACACATACACATAGACACACAGACACACACACACACATACACACATACACACATACACACATACACATACACACACACACACACACACACACACACACAGGCACGCACGCAAACATGGAATCTATCTAAAAATAAAGTTTAACTGTGCATCCTTTGCAACCCTAGCTGGTATTCTAATTGAAATTTGATTAAATTTGAAATTTAAATTTGATTAAATTAAAATTTGATTAAATCTAATTGAAATTGGCATTTAATTTTCAGAGAACTAACCAAATATTTAGCTCTTATTTGGAAGCATTTTAATGACACCTAATTCTTAACAGGTAGGTCTTGGGAATTGGATTTATCTTTGGCTATTGTACATTAGCTAGCAGTAAATAGTTTTTATTTTTCTTTTTGCTTCCAGGCGTTCACAGCCAAAAGGGCTGATTTTTTTTTTTTTTTGCACATTTGTCTCACTCACTTTACCAAATTACCTTGATGCTAATAGTTTCTCTCATCTCTTGAGGCTTCACGTATACAGAGTGATCAGCTACAGCAAGTTAGATTATTAGTTTTTCTTTCTTCATTAAGGTTAATACCCATTATGCTTATTTTTTTGATTTTTAATATTTGTTAAAATCTCTAAGAAAAGTTCAGGTACAGAGGTGTTAAGTACTTTTGTGCTAAACTCATTTTAATTCAAGTAGTTTCAGGGGTTTACTATAGGACTCTGCTTGCCTCTTGCTTTAGATTAATATTTTTCATGTTTTCCTTTCAACTCATGCTTTCTTACTGGAGTTTTTGAGGGCTGGGATAGGGAGGGACTTTTGACGAATTTTAGCAATGACTTTTGTGTTGGTTTGAATAGGAGTGAACTCCATAGACTCAGGTGTGTGAATGTTGGCCACAGGGAGTAGCACTATTAGGAGGTGTGGCCTTGTTGGAGGAAGTGTGTCGCTGTGGAGGCGGGGCTTTGAGGTCTCCTCTGCTAAAGCTACATCCACGTGGTACACAGTCCCCTTCTGCTGCCTGAGGATCCAGATGGAGAACTCTCAGCTCCTTCTCTAGCACCATGTCTGCCTGCTTACAGCCATGTTTCCTGACACCATGAAAATGGAATAAATCTCTGAAGTGTAAGCCAGTCCTAGTTAAATGTTTTCCTTAATAAGAGTTGCCTTGGTCATGGTGAGTCTTGACAGCAATAAAACCCTAGCTAGAACAACCTTTTAACATGATCATATGGTTCTTCTTTGTTGATATAATGACGATACTGAAATCTGTATCATTGGATTCTTGAGTTAAACTTTTCATATAGCTTGTCTTACTATCAAGAATACTGTCTGAAGAAACATCTAATGAATCTCTTAAAAATTCTTTGGCCTTAGATGCATTTTACATACCCACTCATATCCGTATGAAAGACAGATAGAGTTGTAAGGTATCTGACGGTCACTTTCTTTACGTCACATGTCTCCCCTGGAATGTTAGCATCTCAGCATCTACTGTATTCCTATTCTTTCTACCTGCTGCATTTCTTTCCTATAACATGTGACTTACTCTGACTTACTATGTATTTTACCTAGTTTTTGTTATTGTATTAGGACGTAGACCTCATGGAGTGAGGGCCTTGTGATTTATTTTAGCGTATTCCAACTCACAGAGGAGTATTTGGGCCAAATTGGTCTCTCTTTACCCTCTATGATGGAGATCCAAGCAGGGTGTTGTGCACGCTTGACAAGTACTTTGCCACCGAGCTATACTTCCACTCCAGCCCGCAAACAGTGATTTCTGAACCCAGCAAGTGCGTGAAGAGAAGGTTGGGAAATCTGAACATTGAGGAACAGACCAAGCAACAAACAATCATAGCCCACAACCTGGAGATAGAGGGGCGTTTACCAAACAGGAAGCTCGGAAGATGAACAGAGTCGGTGACGGTCCTACAGCAACCTACTCAGGAGGATGGACAAAGCTTCAAAGTGTTTTCACGCTGTTAGGGTGTGGCTGCCCAGGACAGTCGATGGAAATGAGATGGAGAGGGAACTGTCGTGTGGCTCTCTGGTAAGTGACAGAGGCTTTGTGACGTTTTTCTGAAAGGTCCCAAGGGCAGCGCCGCACTCCTGTCTGCACCTGGAGCACTCGCTCACCTAAGGAAGGCCATACCGACTCAAAATGGAAAAAACTGCCAGGGCCACCTTACCGATGAGGAGAGAGCTGAAGTTGAGGTGCGACTTGTCAAGAGAGATGAGCGGGTCTGTGGTTTTGCCCACCAGCAGGAAGGGGACTGAGATATTGTGCTCTGGGATGGAGAATGTCCAGAATGCTTCTGTGATGTCCAGGTGAATGGGCACGAACTGGAACACGATCTACGGAGACAATTCAGAAAAGGACAGTGAGAGACATTTTTTTCCTGCCCCTTTGGAGACCTACAGGCACGAGGGCCACAAGAAGTGACATTTTCCCAGGTTATCATTACTGTCTAAAGTAGGTATGGCTCAGTCAGCAATGTCAACCTGTTTGCCCTGCCTTTTGGGGAGCATCATCATCTACCCCATCCATAGCCCCTGTTGATGTCATACTTGTCATACTCTGTGCCATGGCATGGTTGTGCCATGGCACATGGCATGGCTGTAGCACAGTGGATAGAACTGGCGCCCATACAAAGAAAAGACCATCCACATGTCTGTCAACAGGCTAGCATAGAGCCCAATTCAGTCTCATTATCAGATCTCTCTCTCTTTCCACTCTCTCATTTTGTTTGCCTGCCTGCCTGTCTGTCCATCTCTGAAGTTGATGGACATGAAAATAAGATAGTGGGCTGGATGGTGGTGACTCTTATGAGGATGGATGCCGTGAGGGTGAGCTGGGCCATGGCATGCCACAATCTATTTGCTAAATGAAGATACAGAGGAACAGAAACATAACTAATGAAGAGGGGAAGGAACTGGTTTGATAGAGAAAATAGAGCAGGCTGCTAGAAAAAAGCGTGAAGACCCAAAAGGAAAGCCCGTTCTCAAAAGCTGCCCTAGTGCTCTGCCCTTCCCACTGGGGCTAAGCCAAGCGAGTCTCTTTATACTTGGTCCATAAGGGTTGAACAGAACAACAGAATTGGCCATGACAATGGCAAGATAATGCAGGAGAGATGTTCTCACCAGCACAAGCTTGGATGACAGTTTCTTCAACTTACCCCTCTAGGAATTGGGCAGGGGCTTGGATACATTTCTGAGCTATGGAGAAGGAATACATCCAAGCAGAACCACAGCTCTGGTGGACCCAGCTCCCCATCCTACGTCCAAGCAGGAGCACAGCTCTGGTGGACCCAGCTCCCTATCCTATGTCCAAGCAGGAGCACAGCTCTGGTGGGCCCAGCTCCCCATCCTACGTCCAAGCAGGAGCACAGCTCTGCTGAACCTAGATCCTCATCCTACGTTGAACTAGATGGCTAGGCACTGTTAACATGCAGAAGCCAAGTGGAGAGTCTACAGATAGGCTTCATTTGGTTCGGGAAGGGTTAAAAAATGATGAGCTAACTACCAATATGCAGGATAGAGAGATTCACATTGAAATATAGAAATTTGATGTTCCCAGCCAAATCTAGGGGTACAGAGCACCCTGGGTCTATTTGTCTGTGTGATAATCATCTGCCAGAGAAGGTTTAGACCTGGTGAGCCTTGGAGCCAGAACTGTTAATCACCCTCCCTATTGCTTGCTTTGTTCACTTGGGTAACTTTACCAAAGGCATTAAGTTTTTTTAAACTTATTTTTAACTATGTGTATGTATGTGTCTATTTGTGGGTATGTGCATATGATTGCAGGTGCCCACAGAGGCCAGAGGTGACGGACACCATTTAGAGCTGGAGTTACAGGGCTGTAATGGGTTCGGAGAACTGAACTTGGGTCCTTTCCAAGAGGGCAAAAAGCATCTTAACTGCTGTCTTTCCAGCACCAACACCAGCATTTTAATTATATTTTTATTTACGAATCTCTCTCTGTGTGTATGTGTAGGTGCGTATGTGCTGAGCACACACATGGAGGTCAGAGGATGACTTGTGGGAATTGGCTCTCATCTTCCACCATGTGGGTGTCAGGGTTGGCAGCAATCACCCCGACCTACTGAGCCATTTCTCCAGCTTCCTGAAGGCATTTGCATTCATAATTCTCATTTCATGGATTTATTGCTATGTATAAGTGTCTCTGTAGAACTTACTGGCCATGGCACAGTCACATCTAAATCAGATCCTCTGCCCTATATTATTGTTAGAGACTTTAGGACCAAGGTGTACAAGTTAGGACTCTGTTCTTACATTTTGCCTTTTTCCCTGGGAAAGTAAAAGACATACCCCTTTGCTGTTGTCAGTCTTTTAGATACAGATATCCTCATACCATGAGCCCAGGAATCCCCAGAGATTTATGCCTGGTTCCCCTTTGCTCCTTGAATATTCCCACAAAATCCCTGCAAATACCATGGCTTTCTGCAGAGCCATCCAAGAGAACCCAGGCCTCTCCTTCTCACTGGGATTGTACATGCTAGCCACTCAATAAATACAATGACTCCCATCAATGCTATGCAGAGATGGCTAGAATTGTGGGGTTCCCATCCACACACAAACCTCAGCTTTCTTCTCAGGGTGGATGACACCCTTCTCTGTAAGACACACAAAGGCTGGAGGGTGCTGGAGGCTTTCTGTTTCTTCAGAGGTCCAGCAGAAAGAGTAGGTGCTGTTAGTCGGGTTCAGAATTGTAAAGGTCCTGGCCAAAGGGGGAAAAAAAATTGACAGCAAAAAGTGAGGGAAGGTATTGAATACAAATTCAAGAAAATTTCTGTAGATCCCATAACGATTGGTCAGTCTCCCCCTGGGAACCAGAAGTGATCTGAGAACTTCCTTACTGTAGAAATAAAGATGCCACCTCTCCCTGCCCCCGGACCTAACGGGCAATGAGTGTTCTGGACTTTGTAGTGTTTATTCTCCCAGGGCCACATGTGTCAAGGGGTGCTCTGTGGTCAAGGTGGGGAATGCACCTTTATATATACGCCAGATTTCCCCCACTGTCAGAGCTATGGACATGGAATCCACTTCATTTATGTACCAATTATCTGGGGTTACAGCTCTAGAACAACCCCCAGGACATCAAATTTGCTTCTAGGCATCAGTACAGCTGGGTTTTCTGAATTCTTCATCTGAGCTCTTCAGAAGGACTGACTGGCGTGAGTTCAATCACTGCAAACCCACATGACTCACCGGAGATTCTTTCCTCCTATTCCCACGCTGATGAACTCAATCACTCGGGTATTTGGATCAATTGGCCCAGCTCCTGGTCCTCGGAGCTCTGGGTTGCGCCGATGGCCGCTGATGTAGTCTGATTCCTTCAGGTCAAAATGGCAGACTGGAAGGACGCTTCGCCCTTTTGTTTGCAAAACAGGGCCTTGCTCTCCAGATGGCAGGTTGGGAATGCTAAAATGATAAGATTGGTTTTTTTTACTTTGATTTTATATTCTGTTGTTGCTTTCTTAGTTGGTGGGTAATAGTTGTCCTGTCCACCAGAATGTGAGTTCCATGTGAGTAGGGGTAGGCTTGTCCTGGTCAGCAGCAATACCAGACTGGGCCTTACTAGCACATTTTTCATGGCAGGTGCTCATTAATTAATTGTTAAATGGATGAGTGGGTTGAGTATGAGGATCCTGAATTGGGGTCCCTCTGTGTACTTACCATGCAGCTCCAAGTTTTTCCCTATCAGTGGTTAGGTGTAAAGGAGTGCTTACCCTCCGGGTCTGCTCTTAGGCATCAGTAGATTATAGAGGAGGAACTGGAAATCCTAAAAGAATTGCCCCAAGAACCTTGTAGAAGGTAATGCATGTGAACAGATTTAGGCCCAGGGCCGAGCCCTGGTGTAGCAGAGGTCTCTCTGGTATAAGATCAGGGAAACTCTGACAGTTTATGAAGGTCTCTGTGACCCTGGGGCAAGGCTTCATGAAAATTCCCCTACAGGGCAGGTGTTCTCTTTGGAATCTCTCCTGGAAGAAGGTACCATGTCTGGGACTTTCACTGATATATGTATGAAGTATGTATGCATGCTTATTTTTTTCTCTCTCACTGGACACCAGACCAGGTCCACCAACCCCACATCCCTTTTATTTTTATTCATGAAGATTATTGTGGGCCAGGCACTGCTTTAAGCTTTTTGCTTAAATTAGCTCATTTGTATCCCAAATAATTCTACATGGTAAGGGTTACTGCTTGCATTTTATATATGAGGCAATGGAGTCTCAGAGAATATAGAAGGAAGCTTTCCCAAAGGGTAGAAGCTGCCTGGCTGCAAATTACTTTTAGTTAGTGGAGTTCTGTATGTGTCCAGGAAGGGGAAAGGAGGCAGGTGAGAGGGATGGGAGAGGTTGATGAGCAAGGCTTCGGCCAGGTTCTCCTTGTTCTCCAAAGGTGACCCTTTTAGACCCTTGGGCTCTGTGAGCTGTCGAGGGTTGGATGGAAGAGCTGCTTGGGGAACACATCTCCTTACTGGCAGTACAGGGTGCTCTCAAACTCTGCAACGTCCAACGGGGAGAACTTTATTTTGAGCTTCTGAGTCTTCCCTACAGGCACGGCGCCTGAGGAGGGCTCCACCGAGAAGGGTGAGTTTTCTGGCCAGTGGTCCAAGGCGCTGTCCAGGGTGCTGCCCGTGCCCTGACTCAGCTGGTCTTTTTGATTGGAACCTGAGGAGGATGGAGAAAAGTGATAATTCTGCAGTGGCAATGGAGGCAGCTTGCTCATGAGTCCTTAGGGGCCTTCTGGGATATCTGAGGACCCATGCCTTACAGGAGGTATGCTTAACACTGGATGTGAGTAGAAAGGAATCAACTCATCTGTCACAGGTGACTTGTGAAAGAAAGACACTTCTATTCATTTTATGGTGTTTTTAGGTTTGTTTCCTTTTGGCTCAGGGGGAGTGGATCAAGAAAGGGCTTGTGGATCTTGTGTACCAAGGTAATGGGCTATGGATAAAATCTGTGGAGAACCACAGCTCTAAAGAGCATTTACAAAGTGGGAGTCTGTGGATAAAAGCCCATCTGAAAAATGTGTGAATCTCCATATTTGAAATAGCAGCGACCACTTTATTTAGCTATCAGGTGCCAGGCCCCGTTTTAGAGCTTCATGCATATCAGCTATGCACTTTGGTGTAGGCATATATTTCTTTTGGGAAGATGACTCAGTTTTTCTTTAAAAGATATTTATTTTATTTTTATGTGTGTGTGATTTTTCTGCATGTATGCATGTGCACCACATGCATTCTGGTGCTACAGGGATCAGAAAAGGGCATTAGATTTCCTGGAACTGGAGTAACATACAGTTGTAAGCCACCATGTGGGTGCTGGGAATTGAACTTGAGTCCTCTATAAGAGGCACAAGTGCTCCCAACTGCTGGGGTATCTCCCTAGCCCATGCTTGTTTTCCGGTGGTCTGCAATCTTGCAGGGGGCTGAGAACTAGAAGCCGAAACTCCTAGTGATATACAGTGATATAGGCCAGCTCTCTGGTGGGACTGTAGAAGGGCCTGGCCAGGGAGTGTGGGAGGAGAGGAGGTCAAGCCACTCGTCTCTCAGCCCACAAAGCCCAGGCTCTGCCATCCATCCCTTAGCTACCCAGGAGGCTGTGTGAGCAATGCTGGCCTCTGAGACTTTTCTGTGAGTGGTGACTCAGGTCAGGCCCTGGGGTTTATTTGGCATTGAGTTTACCTTGATTTTCTGGCATGGCAAAAGTGACCGCCTTGGAGATGTCTTCACAGGTCCAGCTGAATTCTAATCGCACCTGTCCTGTGTTGACGAGGTCAAACCTGTGGGTAGACCAGGAGCAGATTTCAGAATGTGCCGTCCATACTTTGTGCTCTACCTGAGTATCAACTGTACTGTTTCTCAAAGGGAAGTCACTTCACTTCATAAGCTTTTTGTTTGTTTTTGTCTGAATAGTATTCTGTTGTGCACACACATCAGTATGTCACATTTTCATTATTTAGTCGTTTGACAGTGAACACCCAGGCTGGTTCTCTGTCTTGGTGGCTAGGAAGAGTCCACGTGGGAGTGCAGACGTCTCCTTGACATGCTGATTGACCCTCCTTTGGATGTATACCAGGAAGTGAGCTTGCTGGGTCACGGGGCAGGTCTATGTTCAGTTTCACTTTGGGGAACCTCCTTCCTGTTATCTATAACTCTGTCCTTGTCAGCAAAATGGGTGGGGCTAGAAGACATCACACTGAACAAAACAAGCCAGACAGAAAAACACGGATCATGTGTTTTCTCTCACATGTGGAAACTAATGTGTTTGAGCTCGAAGTAGAAGAGTATAGCATAATGATTACTGGAAGCTGGGACAGGTCGGGGGAGGCATGGATAGAGAGAGGTTGGATCATAGGTATCAAAAAGCAGGGCAATGGGACAGTGTCGAAGGCAGTTATGGACGTCTATCATATGAGGAACTAGAAGAGAGGAGTCTGAAGGTTCTTCCTCCAGATAGATGTTAAGGGATGGAAATGCTAATTATTCTGCTCCAATCATTACACATTGTATGTGTGCTTGTATTGAAATAGTACACTCTACACTGTAAGTAGATACCATGATTGCATGTTAAACAAAAAAGCAAAGATAAAATAAAAGGCTCAAGAATACAACTGGATGTAGTGGTGCACACTTTTAACTGCAGCCCTTGAGAGGCAGAGCCAAGCTGGTCTCTGTGATTTGGGGGCCAAACTGGCTTACAACGTGAGTTCCAGGCCAGGTAGGGCCACTCAGTGATACTTTGCTATCATATAGGCTATTTATAGATGGGAGCCCAAGATTTTCTGGTCTCTGTATCCTGCAGAGCGAATTACCATGCCTGGATGAAACCATTTTTAAAAAAAGCATTTTTAAAGCAATTTCTTCAGAACTCATTCACTTAGAGCACTTCCTTTTAAAAAGATGCAATATATATTATAATTTATATATATATTCAATATATAATTTATACAGAAGTATATTATATATGAATATATAATATACAATATATTAATTATATTATATAATATATATTATGCTAATTGAGAAATACAATTAATTATGATAATCAGTATATCATATTACATACAATACATAAATTAGATAAAATATTGAATATATATAAAAATTTAAAATGCCACCTGTAGATCCCTCCCTCTTCCCCTCCCAATACCTCCTTTCCTCCCTCCTCTCCACCTATGCCTCTCTCCCAGTCCACTGATAGGGGAGGTCCTCCTCCCCTTCCATCTGATCCTAGTCTATCAGTCTCATCAGGAGTAACTGCATTGTCTTTCTCTGTGACCTGGTAAGGCTGCACCCCCCCTCCCCCACGAGGGGGAAGTGATCAAAGAGCAGGCCAATCAGTTCATGCAGGTGGGATACAAAGTGAATAAACTGTAATTAAAAAAACAAAACAAAACAAAACAATCTGAGCATGAGCCACTGAGCCAGCCAGTAAGAAGCAATCCTCTTTGACCCATCCCATCGTGGGTGGTGCCATCTCTGGGCTGGGTTCTATAATAAACCAGGCTGAGCAAGGTCTGAGGAGCAAGCCAGTAAGCAGCTTTTCTCCTCAGCCTCTTCATCAGCTTCTGCCTTCAGGTTCCTGCCCTGTTTCAGATTCTGTCCTGACTTTCTTTAATGATAAACGGTGATGTGGACGCATAAGCCAAATAAACGCTTCCCTCCCCCCAGACAAAACAGAACAAAACAGAAATTTAAAATGCAACTGCTTAGCCCGTAAAGACAGGTTCCCTAGTAGTCTAAAAGCTCTCAGTGACTCACTCAAACACTCGGGTCTGGTAAACCAGTGTCTCCTTAAAGAACACGTCATTTGTTTCACATTGATATGAAGCGAAATCCACGTTGGCACTGATCTGAATCCGCAGCTCTCGGTAATTTTCTTCTATTACTGAGTGGGCTGGCTCAGGGTCTGTCTCTATCACCTGGAAAAAAGGCAGTCATGTCCTTGACATTGCAAAACTGGCAGCACACAGGAACACTGGGGATGGCACACCACTTTATTCTACCATGGGCATGAATATGATCCCACAAGTGCAGTTCAGGAAGGTGTGACTGGCGAACCTCCAATGAATGAAAAAGAAAGACTGAACAGCAGGACATCTCTGAGAGGAGTAGGATCTCATGGGCATGAATCTTCGATCAGATGGACTCTAAAGGAGCTAGAGAAACTGGGCATGGTCACACCTTTAATCCCGGCACTTGGGAGGCAGAGGCAGGTGGATCACCGTTAATTTGAGGGTGGCCTGGTCTATATAGTGAGTTCCAGGACAGTCAGGGCTATGTAAAGAGACCTTGTCTCAGAAACAAAACCAAAAACAAATACAACAAAATAACAACAAAAATAAGTGATAGAGAAAAGAGAACTGAAAGGATGAACAGAATTGTTTAATTGTGACAAGATTTTATAACTCTTGGTGACATGTATTAAGAAAAGTGCAAACAACAAGAATCATTAGTTAAAGGAATGCATCACCACCAACTATACAGAACTAAGAGACGGAGTTTGTTTTGAAAATATGCTTAAAATTTTAGAGGAAAAGAAAAATAATTTAGTAAAATCCTTGCAAGAACAAATTAAAAACCCTATTAAAGTAAATGGTAAAATATCTTAAAGAAATTAAATAAAAATGTTAAAGAAAACAATGAAAAAGCTTTATTACTACTAAAGAACTGAGTAGTTGCACGTTGTAGAGAGAGCTAAAAAGTAGAAATACCTTGTTAATAGGAAGGATGAGTTAATATTATAAATTGTCAATTATGACAAATGACTTTGAGCTGCAAACAATTCCATTACAGGTTTTCAAAATACTTGGTAAGTGGATTCAGAAGTTATACATTACAAAAGAAGGATCAAGAATGACCAAATCATTTAGAATAAAACAATACAGAGAAGAAGCTTCTCTCCAGACATCAGGTTCATTATGCAGCTATAGAAATCAGGCTAGTGTGAAACTGGTTCAGGGATGGACAAACTGACAACAGAATGGACAGAAATGACCTAGGCACATATAGAACTAGGCTTTGCTACACAGTCCCATCAGATCACGAGGGAGCAGAAGGGCTGACCAAATTTGGCAAAGGAATTATTTCAGTGAAAAATATAAAAGTAGAGGCTTGTTTTATGTCAGGCACAATTCCCAGATGCGTCAAAGGCTTAAGTATCAAAAGCCAAGCTCAGACTTAAAAATATGTAGCAAGGTGAACATATTTTTTTGGGGGGAGGGAAGAGTTATAAAAATAAGATACAAAAGAAGCAATAAACGTAACAAAAAAGAAACTGAAAACTTTGACTATATTGAAATTGAGAATTTTTTTTTTTTGATGTGGCTGGAGAGATGGCTCATGGGTTAAGAGCACTGTTTGCTCTTCCAGAGGGCACAGGTTCGATTCCCCAAACCCTCATGGCAGCTAACCACCTATATAGCTCCAGCCCCTCCTGGCTTCTGTGGGCACTGTAGGCGTGTGGTGCACATTTGTTTATGCTGGCAAAACACCCATATTAAAAGCTAAAAATGAATGAAAAACCTTTAAAAAATGAGGAACAGTTCTTGTTTATCACAACATAAAGGGGATGGACAGGCATCTCAGTTGTTAAGAGTGAAGGTTGCTCTTGCAGAGGACCTTGGTTTGGTTGCTAATACTCACGTGGAGGGGCTCACAACCACCTGTAACTCTAGCTCCAAGGGATCCGATGCCTTCTTCAGACTACTGAGGGTACCTGCACTCGTGTGTGCATCCCCACCCCACAGTCACATAAAGAATTAAAATGAAAATAGAGCTTAAAAAAACAAAAAGTGAAAAGTTAAGCTCTAATTTTTTTTTTTGAGAATATGTATGGACACATAACACAAATGTCTTATTGTTTTATTTATATCTTCAGAATTCCTTGAAGATATAAAAACTTAAACAAAGGATAGGCATAACTAAAAAAAAACAAAAAACAAAAACAAAAAACAAGCAAAAGGCACAAAAAAAGCATTCATATAAGAGGTAGCCTGTGTGGTCAATAGTGATATGATGAGATAGATATCTAACCTCATTAGCAGTTAGAGAAATATAATCAAGGCTCATGATGAGATAATTTCAAAAGGCCTTACCTAACAGTCACAAGGCTGTGGGTTCACCCTCAGTACCCCACAGGCAGGCAGGCAGGCAAGCAAGCAAGCAAACCTCCCAAATGTCTACCAAAATTACAATTTGGAAAGTATGTGGCTCACAAAACTCCTTTGCTGCAAGAATAGATATTGGTATAGTGAGTTTGGAAAACACCTGGCATCAGCTTGAAAAATTTGAACACTCAGTTGTCCTCTGACTTAGTGACTCCACTTGTAGATATGTAAACATGGATGCCAACACGCACAGAATTGCTGCTCATAGGTGGACATTAGACATATAATATAGGATAAACATACTGAAATCTATACACCTAAAGAAACTAATCAAGAAGGACGACTCTGGCTAAGATGCTCAATCCCCAATCAGAAAGGCAAAGAGGATGGATATCAGAAGAGGGAGAAAACAGGGAACAGGACAGGAGCCTACCACAGAGGGCCTCTGATGGGCCCTACCCTACAGGGTATCAAAGCAGATGCTGAGACTTATAGCCAAACTTTGGGCAGAGTGCAGGGAATCTTATGAAAGAAGTGGGAGACAGTAGGACCTGGAGAGGACAGGAGCTCCACCAGGAGAGCAACAGAACCAAAATATCTGGGCACAGGGGTCTTTCCAGAGACTCATACTCCAATCAAGGATGATACATGGAGATAACCTAGAACCCCTGCACAGATGTAGCCCATGACAGTTCAGTGTCAAGTGGGTTCCATAGTAATGGGAACAGGGACTGTCTCTGACATGAACTGATTGGCCTGCTCTTTGGTCACCTCCCCCTGAGGGGGGAGTAGCCTTACCAGGCCACAGAGGAAGATAATGCAGTCATTCCTGATGAGATCTGATAGACTAGGATCAGAAGGAAGGAAAAGAAGACCTCTCCTATCAGTGGACTTGGGGAGGGGCATGGGTAAAGAAGGGGGAGGGAAGGTGGGATTGGGAGGGGAGGAGGGAGGGAGCTACAGGAGGATGCAAAGTGAATAAACTAATTACTAAAAAGAAAAAAGAAAACATTAAAAAAGAAAACTCTAAATCACTTTCAGATGAAGAGATAAAAAGACTAAAATGTATACAACAGTGAAATGCATAACCCATGCAACTATGATCACATACAATAACCTAAAAAAAAAAAAGAGTTAAAAGCTACAGCTACACCTAAATCCTTTTAGAATGCTCAGGTCAACAACTGATCAAGGGAGAAACTTAGGATAGTGATTACCTATAGGAGAGAGACAAAGAGATGGAATGGCTAGACCCACACAGCTCTTCAGGACCCTTGTTGAGCATGGGTTCATTTATTATAGAATTCAAAGGAAAACGAACAAGGAATAAACGAAAGGGGCATGTGTAGGCCAAAGATGGGACCCCATCAAGAAATGAAAGTTCTGGTTATACCTGATGGAAGCAAAGAACAGCAAACGACTAGGGATTGCATTTTTGAAGAAGTAGGAGGAGGAGGAAGTACTTGTAGAACCTGTTATGAAGACTGAAGCTACAGTCCACCAACTACGACAGTGTGTGTCATCAGGAAGAATGGTGAGCACGGAGATTTAGTTTGCCATTTTATAAACCAAAGTCAGATGCAACCCTTTTCTATGTTCTGCAGTAAGGCACTGGAATTGAGAGCGGTCAGCATCCAAGCGCGGTGGTCTGGGTCCGTTTGCTTCCTGTCCCCCTGCATACTCACTTTTCGCTTTAGAGTCAAGGTGCTCGGCGTGTTTCGGGGAGCATCCACCCACTTGACTGTGCGCATGCGGTCATCCCAGTCAGGGACCTGGTCTGCAGGGAGCTGAAACATGATCTTAGAAATCTTGCACTTGACAGCCACCTTCTTCAGGTTGATGGGCACTTCTGACTTCAGGGTCACTACCACGTCCTTGGAGCAGCCGGGGTGGAGATGCCCTAGCTAGGAAAAAGTATTTTTGGGAACTCAATCTTAAGGACCTTTAATGCCTGTAGTGACTCAAAATACACCAGCCAGGCCTGTATAGGTAGATTGACTTAAATCCATACAAGAGATTTTAAAAGATGTCATCAGTGGCTCAAGCTGGGAATCCCAGCACATGGGAGGGTGAGTCAGGTCTGCCATGAGTGTAGGGCCAGCCTAGGCTACATAATAGGTTTCAGGCAAGTCTGGGTTACAGAGTGGGACTTTCTCTCAAAATAAACACACATACACACATCATCATAAGAGCAATATTAATAGTTGCCAATCTGTTACTTACCTCAAGCACTATTATAAACTCTGAAGCAATTTCCTAATCCCCATAACACCCTCTGAGAGATACAGAACTATCACCCCATTTCACAGACTAAGAAAACAAAAACAAAAACAAAACAAACAAACAAACAAAAAAACAAACTTGTAAATTGCTTAAGGTCTTTAATGCTAGTGATCTGGGTTTAAGCTTAAGCGGCGTGGTTCCAAATGCGCCTACCGCCGCCTGATACTTACTCATTGTGATTCATATAAACAGGTGGCTTGATACAGTCTGCTAATTTCTTTTTTAAACATATTTATTTTTTAATGTATATTAGAGTGCTCTGTTTTTTATGCACACCACAAGGGAGAATCAGATCCCATTAGAGATGGTTGTGAGCTACCATGTGGTTGCTGGGAGTTGAACTCAGGACCTGTGGAAGAGCAGCCAGTGCTCTTAACTGCTGAGCCATCTCTCCAGCCCCAGTCTGCTAGTTTCTAGAAAGTGATCTAATGACCCTTGGCATCCTCAAGATCTTTCCAGTGTACCAGTAGGATGAAACTTTCATGAAAATACTGAGATGCCACTTGATTCTCTCACTTTGCTTTTCTCATGAGTGTCTAATGGAACTTACAAGAAGTTAAAGATAATGACATATAGTCAGATAGAATGGAAAAGGCAGAGAGAAAAATCCATATGACTCGTATTCGGTCAGATATTAAAGAAGTTTATGAAGACATAAGATGGCTAGGTGTAGTGGTACACACCCATGACACAAGCATTCAGGAGCTGAGACAGGAGGATAAAAGGCTCAAGCCTAGCCTGGGTTACACAGGAGACCCTATCTTTTTTTGTTGTTGATTTTTCAAGACAAAATTGCTCTGTGTAGCAGCCCTGGCTGTCATAGAACTCACTTTGTAGATCAGGCTATCTTAAACTCCAAAAGGTCCACCTGCCTCTGCCTCTTGAGTGTTGGGATTAGAGGCATGCGCCACCATGCAAGTCCAAGAGACCTATCTTGACTAGAAAGATGGAAGGGTTCTACCATTGCCACACACAGTTTTGAAAATATAGATTTTTAAAAATTCAGTGTTTGAATGAAAACATAGTTGATTTATTGCACTTTAAAACAAGTCTGTTTAAAACTATTCCTCATTTTGGGGGCTGAAGAGATGATTCAGGGGTTAAGAGCACTGGTTGTTTTCCTAGAGGATCCAGGTTTATTCCAAACATGCTCATGGCAGCTTAAGACTGTCTGTAATTCCAGTACCAGAGGATCTGATATCCTCTCTAGTCTCTGTGGGCACCACGCATACATATGGTTCACATATGAAAGGCAAAATACCTTTTTTTTTTGCACATGTAGGCAAAAATACCTTTACAAATACAAAAATAAAGAAACCTTAAAAACATTCTTAGTTTTGATTTCCAATGGGTTAAATATCAATAATTATAATTCACATCGACAAAAGTTCTTTGAAGGTTCTTAATAATGTTTAAGAGTATGGAGGGGCTCTGGGACTCAAAAAACCTTAGATTGCTCAAATATGCCAGATGTAAAGGAGATTCCATTCGGTTTGTAGAATAAAGTGATTGAGGCCCATGGACCACCAACCTATGCACCAGCCACACGACACTCCTTTGACAGAGAAGCATCCTCTCTCCTTCCTCCGGACAGTGGGAGCTTATGAGAGCTTTGGCTTGCCCAAGACAGATGCATGTGTGTGTCTTCAAGCACATGTAGGTTTGCGCAAATGGCAGCGAACTGCCAGAAGCCCAGTTTATCTTCCTTGATAACTTAGATTGTTCTATCACATCCATTACGCTCTTTCTGCTTTCTCATAGGTCAAACGTTGATAACAAAGACTAAATGAATTTACCAAGGCTTTGGCACTGGGTCTGGCATATAGTGTTGAGTTAGTTTTCTGTGTCTGCTTCCTCCCCGGCGTTGGATTTGGACTGAGCTGGTGTTAGAATCTATCGGGAGCCTAGGCCGGCCTGGAACTCACTAGGTAGCTCAGGCTGGTCTTGAATTTGCGGGAGTATTTCTGCCAAGTGTTAGGGGTGCAGGTATGAAGCACTACTTTTTGGCTTGTTGAGCCACTTCTGATGGCTATGCTCTAAGAACACCTGCACAGAAGGACACGGGTCTATACTCTGGGACAGGAAGCTAGGATCTGCAGTCGTTTATCCAGGCCTCCAGGGAATTCCTTCACTTTATCCCAACTGCAGTGCTCATTAATCTCCTTTTAGACCAGGGGGTCCTGAGCAGCACCCTTGAGCACTAGGTCTGACTGTGGGGTTTCTTAGAAACTGACTGGGCAGTTTCTTAGCTCAGTATGCATGTGCCCCATTCCATGTCTCCATAGGGATGGGGTGACAGTCATGTTGGGGTTGGCTTAAGCCTGAGAGGGCCTGGAACCCAGTGAGTGGCTTTGCTTACCTGTGGGGAGAAAGTCAGTGCGTTTAAAAAGGGCCACTCGAACCGGATCACGTTCGCTTGGCTGTGATTGGTGATGGTGAAGCTCACGTTGTAGTTGTTTCCAATGTGGCAGTGCCCAAACTGGATGTGGTCCAACAGGGCAGCTTAGGGTCAGAAACAAGGCTGGTGAGTACCTCGGGCCTCTTTGAAGAGCCTGCTTTCTAAGCGGGGTTGGGGGCATGTCCTGTTAGACACCGTAGCCCATGCGCATTTCACCCTTTCCTCCTTGGATGGTTGTATATTAAAAACCTTGGCCTCTTGAACAGAAAGATCTGCCCCCCAGCGCTTTCCGTCCACCCACCCATCCACATATCAGTTCTATCTACACATCTATCTTGTCTCTTACATTTGTTCAGGAGAAAATAAAGATTCTAATGTCATTTGTTTAATGAGACACTACAATGAAATGTTAGGCTACCAGATAAAATACAGGATTCACAATTAAATTTGAATTATAGATAAACAATGAGTAATTTTTTTTTATGATAAACATGCCCCATGCAATACTTCCGGGAACATACATATACTAGAAGTTACTGTTGTTTATCTGGAACTTAATTTTCTTTGGAATACCTGTATTCATGTTTGCTAAACCTGGAAACTCTATAATAGTTATGGAATCAGATCTCTAAACTTCAATTACTGCTAGGTTCTGCTTGACTCCCAACAAGAGTGATGCCATTACATAGCCCCAAACAGGAGTGAAACACCAAATTATGGAAAGAGTGTTGATTTCAATCCCCGAGTACACATTTCAGGACTATAATTAAGCTCCTGGGGAAAGTTTGAAGCCAGGTTTACAATTCACTTTAAAGCAGTTATTCATATACAGTTGGAGTGCTGCTTAACAAACGCTTCTCAGCAATAATTATTAAGGCAAAATGTTTCCTTCCCAGAGTCCCGAAATGGAAGGTTCAGTGATTGAGAGACCTCAAAGAGCCACGTCTTAAGATTTAATATGGACATGATCAGCCAGGTATCTAGTTAAAATGTGGATTATGATCCTGTAGGTCAGGGTGGCTCTGAAATTTCCATCTCTGACAAGAACCCAAAAGACGGCAGTATTGTAGGCTTGCTCACTGAGCATCCAGGCTGTGAGGCTGAGGGCACAAGCCTACTACTTCACATCGCAAGCTCAGGGCATACACCTCGGATGAAATCCCCAGTGCCAACACAAGCCAGGGAGACTGCGGGAAATATGCATTTGCTAAAGAGCTGAACGGGAATGTCAGTATCAAACTGTACATTCCCTAATAAAGACAAAGTCTTTCTTATTAATCTGCAGGCCTAGGACTAAGAGTAGTTCCTGGTGCTTGCACTTGGTGCTATGAGGTGTCTGTCGCTGCACAGACAGACATGTAAGTGAAGGACGTAAAGAGTGACTGAGCCCAGCATGGCAGAGCTCACACTGATAGTTAAGGCTGGTTCCTAAATTCTCAGCAGGCCACACCTGCTTTGTGAACTTCACTCTCAACTCAGAATGACTTGAGTCAACAGTTGTCAAGAGCCCACTTCTCCTCTCACCTGCCACCAAGTCCTCCATGGCAGTTTCCTCAGCGATCTCTATGACCTCGGACATATCCGAGTTCTCTGAGATGGTGGAACCTATCAGCCCATGGATGTTGTCCAAGGTGATATCATCCTCGTAGCTTTCTCCTACTAAGTGGATCTTGGTCTCCTCATACTGGTTGTTGATCACTGACAAGTGTACGGTGCCTGTCATTCTCCCAATCTTATTGGCATGAAAAAACACATCAAATTCAGCGGAGTCTCCAGGAGAAACAACCAGGGAGGCTGTGTGGGCCTTTTTGGCTGTAAAACGAAGGTAGAAGTTACCATTTGGGACCAGTTTAGAAGGATGCCTCTCCAGGAAGACCATGCTTAGAAGGAAGATGGCCCCTTTGAGGGAACAAGCTTTGGCCACTGGCGACGTGACTGAGCACCAACTGTGGTTTGGCCCTGAGGGGACCCCGACAACTCAGCTTCTGAGAGCCACCTCCCTACTGGGGCACCTGCTCTGCACTCGCCTTTTTCATTCGGTTTGTTTTCCTCCATGATGTAGATGTAGGAGGTGGTGGGCCTCCCTTTCAGAGAGAAGACTCCTAGTTGGTCACGCAGGTCCACGTGCAGCTGGAAGGAGAATGTGAGGCTGAGTGTTGAGCTTACAAGCTGCTCGGGAATTTTGAGTCTGGGTTGTGATCGTGTGCTGTATTTTTGGGGCAAGACTCTCTAAAGTCATTACATGTGGCATTCGCTTTGTATTCTCTCTCTCTCTCTCTCTCTCTCTCTCTCTCTCTCGCATGAGTATGTGTGAATGGCATATGTGTGTTCTCATGTGTGTGGTATGTGTGTGTGTGGAGGTGTGTGTGTATACCGAGGCCTGAAGTTGACAGATAGCGTGCCTTCCTCGGTTGTTCTCTTCTTTATACAGAAGCAGGGTTTCTTGCTGGACCCGGAGCTCGCTGATTCGCGCTAGTCTAGCTAGTCAGGTTGCCCTGGGGTGTCTCAGGTTTTGCCGCTTGAGGGCTGGGATTACAGGTGACTACCACCCCCCTGTCCTGCGTGGTGGTAGCGCGTGGATTCTGGGAGTCTGTACTCTGTTCCCCGTACCTATGTGTCAAGTGCTTTACCTACTGAACCATATCCCTAGCTGTAGGAATCACAGTTTTGAGCCTTAAGAGAAATGTGCAATAAACATTAGGCCTGGATAGGAAAAATGAGCATTCAGTCAGGCCATCGCTTAGTATCTGAGTTAGGGACTGGAAACCCAAAGATGGTGGTGTCTCTGCGGACTGTACGGTTAGACAGTGTCAGAGAGGGGCTGCCAGTGCTTCTGTTACACAGAGAGGCTGTAGAAACATATACTGTAGACTAATGAAATAGAAACGAATACCCACAATTCTACAAAGCATTGTATAACTGTTATTTCCCAGAAGCTAGCATTTCTAAGGGTCATGGCAAACATCCTAGCAAGACGAGAGGCAAACCAAGGCAGACCTCTGACCAACTTCAGGAAAACAAGTGGTTTCTGGTCCATCAGGAAACAGGCAGGGCTAAAGCCAGACATTTGATTTTAGGTGTGAGAAGTCTAACATGGTAGAGGGTAGCAATAAGACTGCTGCAGAGCCAGTGCATCAGAACGAAGGTTGCATCCTCAGAAACAACCCTGGTAAGAAACTAAGTGGAGGGGACACTGGGGTGGCTGAACTTGATCCCAGGGACGCACAGGCTGGGAGGAGGGAACTGATTTCTGCCGTTATTCTCTGGCCTCCACATTCTCCTGCATGTACTTACACACAAAATAATAAATAAATGTAAAAGAAGAGAAACTACGTGGAGGAGTTTATATTTTACAAACATGGAGGAAAAAGTCAATGAATGGACAGGGACCCTGAATGTTACCGCTGGTGGACAGTTACTCTGAAACCAGGGGTTCTCCCCAGATAACCCACAGACTTGAATTTTGATTCCAACCAGACTAAAACTATTCCTGGATGTATCTTATTGAATGAAGGTGGGTGTTTGCTGGCGTGTGTGTCTGCGCATCCTATGCATGCCTGGTGCCTGCTGAGCTCAGAAGTGGATGTTGGATTCCCCAGAACTGGAGTTCCTGATGGTTGTGAGCCACCATGTGGGTTCTGGGAACCAAACCCAGGTCCTCCGCAAGAGCAGCCAGTGCTCTTAACCACTGAACCATCTCTGCAGCTCATCCCAGTAAGATTTTTAACGGGGATTCTTAAGCTTATATATCAGCTGAATATACAAAAATTCTTAAGAAAAGTAAAAAAATAAAACAAAACAAAACAAAAGCCAAACAACCCAGTAGCGGTGGCAGGACCTCACGGAACTAGACTATAGAACGGTGGTTGTTGACTTGGGGGTTTGCAATTTCCTTCACAGAGGTCACCTAAGAGCATCAGAAAGCAGACAGTTATGTTATGATTTATAACAGTAGGAGGGTTTCAGTTATGAAGTAGCGAAGAAAACAAACTTATGGTTGGGGGCGACCACAACCTGAGAAACTCTAGTAAGGAGTCGCAACATCAGGAAGGTTGTGACCCACCGCTCTGGAGCATCATGAGAACCATGCAGGGCGGTGCCACCCTCCTGCTGTTTCTCACCATGGGTCTAGACCAACAGGACCAAGGACTGTGGCCTGAGACCTCCGAAACTGTGAGGCAAGAGAAAGCAGTGTGATCTGACTGACATGTCACCCCATGTGACCCTCCATGCTACCCTCAAGTGTTACCTGGGCAGGGATGGTGCCATTGTTCTTGAGGATGAGAGGCAGTTTCTCTGAATGACCAAGGAGCAGCCTCTTAAACAGGAGCAGGGGGTTCCCGTGTTGGTTATACAGAGTTGGTCGAACGACGGTCACTCGAGGGAGGGTCCCCTCACCGATGATGTCAAACATGAGACCTCGGCTCCTGGCCAGGGTGCTGCAGGGGCAGGAAGAGAGAGGTGGCTGAAGCCGACCGGCAGGGATGCTTCCCTATGCTGCGTGTCTGTTGCCACACTGCCACGGGAGGAGGGACAGCTGGTACCTGGGCAAGCCCTCCAAGTTAGCCTCGAAGACGCACTGGTAGGTCTGCATGGCCTGCGGTGTGAACAGCACCGTGGCGAAGGCGTGCGAGCGACTCCCGATACACATCTTGTTGGGCTCCACATCAAAGATGTCGGCGATGCGGTTGATGGCCTGTGAGGGGGAGGGGCACCGGCTGGGATTGGATACTTTACTTTTCTACGGGGGCTTACTGCTGACCCCTCTGCCCTGCTGCGGACCCTCCCTTCTCTAAGATTGTCCTAGACAGGCTCAGTTACCTTCAGAGTCGTGGGCCCTGCATAGAGTGGCTCAGAGTCCGGGGACTTATCCCCAAGCAACAACTGGCCACACGTGGCCAGACCATGAACTTTGACTCCAGTGGACAAACCCAGCCAGTCAAAGCCAAATGTTCTCATCACCACCCTAGCCAACAAAATTAATATAATTGATGTGGAGCTGGGCTGGAAGCTGGATGAAGATGCTGGCATTATGATGCATTTTGATCTGGGTCCAAGGTTGTTGACACACTGCTGTGATGCCTGTGTCATTTGAGCTGAGTCAAATGAGTTTCTGTTCTGTAAAACTTCAAGTGCTATGACTAAAATAAGCTCCCTTAGCACTCAGCCTGTTGCTGGGCAGTGAGCGATTTTGAACTGGAAGGACTCCAGGAGAGCCTTTGAAAGGACTTCTTCATTCTGTGAGTACTGGGCAGGACGCAATGCAGGCTGCCCCCTCTTGTTCTTTAGCCAAAGGGCGGCAAGGAATTCCGCAAGGGATTCCCTCCTCATGACAAACTGCAGAGCAGGAGAATGTTGGATGTCCCCGACTCCATTGTCATAGCACTTTTCTCTTGAGGAGCCAGGCTTCCCCACTTTCCGTATTTTCAGTACAGAATGAGGAGCGGGCGACTCTTCAGGGCACTCCATGGATAGAGAATAATGGCTGGATGCCACGAGCGCTTGAAGGTAGGGATGATGGATTAGATGGCCTCTTAACTCTCTCAGATGACAGTCTTCCAGGAGTGCACACAGCTGTAGGCTGAGGCCAGCCCTGGGGACCTCCTCCACCCCTATCAGCCATGGACAGTATGAGAACCACCTGGGCCCAGGTTCACACTCTTCTGGTAAAGCTAAATAAGTAGTATCTGAAGCATAGGTTGGAAATTAGGGTAACAGCAACCTGGTTGAATCATTCATTTCCTTGTGCCATCTTTGAATGTTTTCTTCTTCCATGAGGAAAATGGCTTTAGTATAATCTGACCCAGAAGGTGAGGCAGTTTTGAGCTTAATGGACCTCTGAAGTGGGCACTCATTATTTTAATGTGAACAGAGTTTGGCTTTGATCTTAGCTGTATATTCCAAGGATCTGGAACTGAGGGAAAATTTAGCTTTTCTGAGACCCAGTTTCTCTAACGGTAAAATGGGGATAACAACCAAGTCTGAAAGAGTTGTGAACATGAAACAAAAGAGTAAATAGAAAGTCTTTAGCACAGCGCTTGTCACACAGGAGGGCCTCAGTCCACATCTCTCTTCCACTTCACACCTGTGGTCTGATGTGGTCTGATGGGAGATTTGAGGCTAACCCGCCTGAGGCTGGTGCTCACTGCTGGCTTCTCTTTACTGCTTGTGTGTCTCAGTTACACAGTGAGTTCAGCTGGGCAGACAAATGAGTTGCCCATTAGTATGTACCAGTTTAATACAGAGGTATGCACAGGATACACACACATATATGTATATATATTTATGTATATGTACATATATAGGTATATGTATTCATTCCCTGGCCTAAGGGAAGTGGCCTTGTTACCTCACAGAACTTTTAACAGGGCCTGAGAGCCGCATGGATCTCATCTAGGTGCAGGGGCTCTATAACAGGGCCTTCCCAAAGCTCCTTCCCCAGCTTTATACCGACCACACAGGGCTATGGCCACTGGGAACCTCCTACCTTGTTGGAGATGGGCTTGACAAAAATGTTGATATCACAGGCGATCTTTCCCACATTGCTGATCTTGAACCGAGCCTTGGCCTGGTGACCCACCAGGACGTTGCAGAAGATGAACTTATTTTCATCCTCCACAAACAGCCCCCCACTCTGTATGGTCTGTTGGATGTGGTACAGGTTGGGGCTAGTGCAGATCTGGTGTTCCTCAAAGATCAAGGCATTGTTGTCGGTCACAAAGGCTAGGGAATGGAGGGAAGAGTGTGAGACTGCCTGGCTGCCTAGATCCCAGGTTCCTGTCATGCTAATTTAGATGAAAAACTTTAAAATATTACATTTATTTCTATATCTATTTATTCATGTCTCTTTCTGTCTCTCTCTGTCTCTGTCTCTGCATGTGAAGGTATAGTCTATGTGGAGTCTAGAGTACAATTTGCAGGAGCCTATTCTTTCCTACCAGTGGAGTCTGTGGACTGTATTCAGGTGTAAGGTAATCTTACCTTATGACCCATCTTTCCAGCCCAGGATATTTGGATTTTGATGAAGGAGAAGCAAAAGGCTAGGGATACAACTTAATGATAGAGTTGTATCATTGTATATTGTCTGGCATACAGCAGGCCTTGGGTTCTGTCCCTTTCATTGCAAGTAAATACAAACACTAATAATAAAAAGCAAGAGCCAGGGAGGACAGACAGGGAAGTCCACACACTGGGATGCAAGTGACGGGACAAAATCTATTGGCCTCCTCTTTTACTCTGTCTCTTCTGGTCAGTAAATCTCTATCAGCCTTTTCCTTCCATTGGCAAAGAATGGTGAGAACCAAGGTCTGGAGTGGACTTAAGGGAGTTAAAGGACTTGGTTTATAATGGTGTGAGGTTCTAGGGGGCTTATAGCCAAAGCATTGCCTGAGCCCTTGCTGGGTTCAACAGTCAGCATGCTGGGTTGCTGAGCATTGCTCTGTGAATGTGCTGTCTATTAGAAGTGGCCTGAACACAAACAGACTTGATGCTCCTCAGTCCTGGGCCACATCCCAGGCCAGCCCATTCCTCAGAGAGCAGTGCTCACTGGGGAATCCAGGAACAGACCCAGGAAGGCTAAGCATGGGGAGAAGCAATTCTCTGCTACATGTGCTAAGGCTTTAAGGACAAATGTGGCTGAAGAGCCTGGGAGAGGCTCTAAGTGTCTAGATGAAGCAGCCCCTCCTTGTCTGCTGGACATCTTGAGAGGGATTTTTCTGGAAGGGGAGGGGCTGGCCGGTCTTTTAGGGGTGCTGGTCAATTCAAGCTGCAGTACCTGGCAGACATGCCTCAGCAAGCAGAGTGTAAGGAATGCCGGCAGGGTTTTCTCTAGGGTCTCGGTCGGAGATATCGATGGCCAGAAACTCTTCACACTTTCCCACAGGGTCAGCCACACATTCAACGGTGATGATTTGCTGTCCTCCGGAAGGGATGGAGCCATATCCTGGGTATACAGTGAACATGCCATGGGAGAAGCGGGCCTGCAGGACAGAGGTAGGAAGGGCAGGGCAGAAGGAAGCAGAGTGGGTAAGAGAGTCTTTTGAGACTTTCCAAAAGAGACAATGGACTGAGGAGATGGTGGCACCTCTCTGGTATTGGTACTCTCTCTGTCTGGAGGGGCAGAGACCCTAGATATTCATGATGGATGGGTTTTCAGTGCTTCCTTCTCTGTATATGCCTTCTGATGAGATATGATGGAACCAAAGGCTCAAGGAAACAGATAATATATGCATTATGCAGTACTTATCTAGAGGGGGGGAGCCTCAAAGCAGCGGGGTTGGGGTAGGGTGCAGAATGGAATAGACTGAGATGAGGGGTTTTGAATAAGACACTATGGGTCTGAATGAGAATGCCCCATAGGCTCATATATTTGAATGAATGCTTGGTCTCCAGTTGATAAACCTGTTTGAGGGAAGGATTAGGAGGTGCGGCCTTGTTGGAAGAGGTGTGTCATTGGGGTTGGTTTATGGTTTCAAAAGTTCACACCAAGCCCAGTCTCACTCTCTGCCTCTGGCCTATGAATCAGGATGTAATATCTCAGCCACTGCTCTAGCACCAAGCCTGCCTGTCTGCCAACATGCTTCCTGCCATGGTGATCATGGACTAACCCTTTGGAACTGTAAACAAACCCCCCAACTAAATATTTTCTTCTATAAGTTGCCTTAGCCATGGTGTTTCTTCACAGCAACAGAATAACAACAGAGAATCTGGACTTGAACTCGATCTTCAAAATATATTGTTTGACCTATGAAAAACGATTTCTCTGAGTCTCAATTTGTATACCTGTAAGAGTTCCTTGCACAATGGATCGCTGGAGGGATAAATGAGAGAAAACTCATGAGGCACAGACTATTGCATGTGGTGCAGAATTAGTGCTAAAAAGAAAAGACTGTCACTCCAAGAGGAGCCCTTACATACCCCTGCAGGCCCCAGCGCTCCTTTTCTCACTTGTAGTCCTCAGGATAACTATAGCATATACTTGGAATACAGTGTCCCATTCGAGAGAAAGATTGTCTTGGATAACCCAGTCTCTGTCCTCCCATTTCTAGATGTTACATCATGCTTTAGCTCAGAGGCCCAAGTGTCTTCAGGGCTCTAAGACCAGAGCGGAACGAGCTTGGAGACTGCAGTGTAAGTGGGTACGCATATGCGAGACTCCAGTGTCGTGGGCAGCGTCTGTGGTCTTAGAGGAAAAGACCCCAGAGAAGTTAGCTGTTACTCCTTTGCTGTGTGAGGGATGTTTTCCATGATCTGGGCTGTGGGTGTCCTGTCGCACTGGATCTCCTGCTAGATGTAGGAGCTGGTGAAGGCACCAGAATACCCCTGCCAGGTGTGAGGCCAGCGTGTGCTCGTAATCCTACCCTGGGACTGACAACCAATGCACAGCACTCCCCCTCACAGGCAGTGACCCGAGCGATCTTCCACCACACAGAGAGCCTGTAAGCCTGGCTCTCAGGCTCATTTCCTACTCTTCTCAGATTCACAAAGCTTCCCAATGGCAGGCAATCTGACTTCTGGTGTCTTGTTCAATGCCTCTGTTGTGCATTCTTAGAATCTATTACAAGAGCTGGGTACCAAATTCTGCTGTTCTTCCACTTGGAAATGTACTTTTCTTACTTAACCCCATTCTCATGCCCTCAGGATCTCTTCTGATATGTTCCATAGTACTACTGCATTATGGCATAATCTAGTCTGCATGGAAGCTTCAAGGGATGCAAATGGGCTACTACCTACTGAAAGTCGGCCATGTGCTAAGCTTTACTGAGCCCTGGAGACTCCCAGATGAGTCATCTGGGTAATGAAGGACTTCTCTCCAGCTATCTATTTCCTCTAAACAAATGATTCTTGATTTAAAAATGTATGAAGAATTAATTCAATGAAGGTTTCAAAGCAGGAGAGGATGCCAAATGAAAGGTTGTCACACCCCAGCTCAAAAAGTGAGGATTTCAAATATGAGTCAATAGCCCTGCCACAGAAGAGTCAAGTTCTGGGGCTGGAGAGACTGCTTGGTGGTTAGGGTCATGGACTACTCTAGCAGAGAACCTGAGTTTAGGGCCATCTACATCAGGTGGTTCACAATTTCCTTGTGCTGGTCTGAGAGGAAAATGGCCCTCACAGGCTCCTAGGGCGTGGCATTATTGGAGGTTTGGCTTTGTAGGAGGAAGTATGTCACTAGGAGTGGGCTTTGAGCACTCAGAAGCTCAAGCCAGGCCCAGTGGTTCACTCTCTCTTCCTGCTGCCTGTGAATCTGGATGTAAAACTCACAGCTTCTTCTCCAGCACCATGTCTGCCTGCATGCCACCATACTTCCCACCATAATGATAATGGACTAAACCTCTGAAACTGTGAGCCAGCTTCAATAAGAGTTGCCATGGCCATGGTGTCTATTCATAGCAACAAAACCCTAACTAACATAGGCCTGTAACTGTCACTCCAGAGGATCTGACAGCCTCTCTGGCTTCACCAGCATCTACACTCATGTGTACAAATCCACACACATACACATTTTTTAAAAAAGTCTATTCTAGTAGGGAAGTGTTTGCTCTGTTTCTGTGAGTGATGAGGAACTCTCACCTGGTTTGTCATGTTCATGTCTTTCTGGATTGTTTCTGAGAACTTGGCAGGTTTGGCAGGTCCAGACTTGTAGAAGCTGTCACTCTCTCGGGTTCTTCCGTGCCTCGTGTGACTGGTCCTGATCGGAGAAGCAAGGTTACAGCCTCAGGTTTTGGTGGGGACATGAGACACTCCCTGCCTGCCGAAGGTCCTTGCTTCTAGGCTCTGAGGGTAGGAGGCGGCTTTCCTTTGTCCAGAAAGATATCAGAGTGCCTTTGTTACTTTGTACTCATTGACCAAATTCACTGAGCAGTTTATAAGGAAGTGACATGGGTAATTATACTTGTGGAATACAAAACTGTAAGGATTTTGAAAATTACTTCAAGCAAAGTCCATGTGTTAAGGGCTTGGTCCCCAGGAGGGGCAATATAGGTCCCTTCTTTTCCTTCTCTCTTTTGCTTCCTGCTCTGAGGGGCGCAGTTTCTCTCTGCCGTATGCACTGGCCATGAAATAATGCCTTGCTTCAGACCCAGCTGATCATTGTCTGGACTTCCAAGCAACCCTTTTCTCCTTGTAAATTTATTACTTGCCTTTTCTTGTTACAGTGATGGAAAGCTGGATAATGACCACCACCACCACCACCACCACAACAACAAAACATACAACAGCAAGCAAGTGAACAAGCAGGCCTGGTGCAAGCCTGCTAATTCCAGCTACTTTGAGAAGCTGAAGCAGGAGGGTTGCAAATTGGAAGCTTGACTGGGCTTCAAAGCAAGTTCTAGGTCAATCTGGACAATTTAATTTGACCTCATCTTAAAAGATAAAATAAATAAGCTTAGAGATAGAGTGCTTGCTTGGCACACCTGAGGTCCTGGCTCACCCCTCAGCACCATGCACAGGAAACAAGAGACTTTAAGTGCTTGTGTCCACAGGAAAACACCATTTTGGAAATTTGTCACACATATACACACACACAGTCTTTTACTAGAGGCTGAAGAAATGGCTCAGACGTTAAGAGCACTGGCTGCTATTCCAGATGAACCAGTTTCAGTTTCAATTCCAAGTACATAAGGTAGCTCTCAACTGTCTGTAACTCCAGTTCCAGGGACTCTGACATCCTCAGACAGATATACATACAGGCAAAATACCAACGCACAGTAAATAAACAAATCTTTAAAAAAACAAGGTCTTTTACCTAATTTTATTTTATGCATGAAATGATAAATTTTGTCTCCATTACTCATGTTTATAGCCCCGATGTATGTAAAGGCTAGTATAAATAGTAGCTAGATAAAGGTTTTAGAACTTTACTTCACTAGGAACCCATGTACCCAGTTGTTAGTTTGTCCAGACACTACCGTAGCTAGAGCATGCAACTGTATTTGAGATACATCAAAGATATTTTGAAAACCTTATGTATTCACTTGTTTGATGACCAGAGCACATCTGAGGTTCAACCCCCTTGTGTGTTTTGTGTGAATTAGTGCAAGTGGAAAACAATTAAATAAATAAATTAATTTAAAAATATTTACTTTAAAAATTTGTATGTGTTCAAGTGTTTTGCTTGCATGTACGTGTTGTGCCTGGTGCCCATGGATGCCAGAAGGGAATCTGGATCTGAAACTGGAGTTACAAACATTGTGAGCCACCATGAGGGTGCTGGGAACTGAAGCCAGATCCTCTACAAGACAGTAAGTGCTTTTAACCACCGAAACAGCCTCCACGTAAAAATAAATTAAAATACAAAGAACAATTAGCCAGAAGCATTACTAAGGCATGATAAAAAATTGTGAGGCTGTTGAAATTAAATTTGGAAGAGATTTTAGGCAGTTTAACCCCAAATTTTGTAATATTTCCAAACTTTTCCAGTATAGAAAATTAGAGCTGAAAAAAAATATAAAATTATCATAAGCATTGTGAGGAGTAGGCTTATTTTAAAACATCTAGAAAGTAAAAATTCAAGGTAGACACATCTTGGGAACTGGTCAAGCCATCTTTAAAATCTGTTTCCAGGGAAAACAGCGAGCCAATGGGAGCCAAGAGCACGCAAAAGATCTGTCGTCTTGAGTCTCCAGATGGGAGACACACACTGAAGAAGTGCCACTGTAACTGCAGAGGCAGCAGAGGTGACCAGCGCTTTCCTCAGGGCAAAGGCAGGCGTGGCACTTGCCGGGCTCAAGGCCTCCTTCTGCTTTCTCTTGCCTCCATCTCCAGGGTACCCATTGTCAATCCCCATAGCGAAACACGCTCAAGCCTTCTCTTGATTTAGTTTTCTTCTGTAATCATCCCTCAATACCCTCAGGTGATAGAGAGGGCAATGACTTCCTGGTGAGAAACACCAGGACAGAATAGAAAATCCAAAATCTTCACATTGAAGACCTTACTCTTTCTTCCTTCCCATGCTTTCTTCCCTTTCTCTCACTATCTTATCCTAGCTATCTGTCTGTCTGTCTGTCTATCCATCCATCCGTCCGTCCATCCATCCATCCATCCATCCATCCACCCATCCACCTATCCATCCATTCAATTTTGAGAGTCTCAAGTAGCCCAGGCTGGCCTAGAACTTTCTAGGAAGCCAAGGATATCATAGAATGCTTCATCCTCTGCTTCTACTTTGTGAGTGCTGGGATTACATGTATGCACCACCACACACATCTAGAACACTTTACATTTGTTCAACTAGGACCTATCCTGTGTCTGATGGCAGCTAGAAAAAGCCTGACATCTGATCAGAAAATGTGTTTTAGAACCAACCCCTTTGCTGGTGATTTCCCACATAATCTTTCAGGAGACAATTCTAACCCTGAGTGTCTGTCTGCTTCATTTGGGCAAGAAGACTGGGTGAATTTGGTTACGTAAAGTATGTCACAGCTCATTGTAGAGTATAAAGCATCAAGTCAAAAGCTTGTCTTACGGCTTCTTTTGATGAATTGGACTCTCCCCTGTCAGCCTGTAGAGGGCATATTTGAAGTCGATAATGCCTTGGTTTTCTATGGTGAAGGTGGTGTTCTTCCTGGTACCGCAGATCAAAGCCCCAAAGTTGATGATAGAGGAGGGGCTGATGGTGAATTTGGAGTACACTGCATTCACAGAAAACTTAATTGGGATGCTGGCAATGATCTCACCATCTGGGACATTGGGCTCAATAATCTAGAAAAGGGAAGAAGGTTTGAGAAGATATTAGCCAGTGGTACAGCCATAGAATTCTCCTTAGTGTCTTCTTGCCTGCTTTCATGACTGACACGCTCTCCAAGGTGTGTCTGACCTTTGACCCATAGGCCACATGCCACCAAGGTTATGAATTTACCCCAACATAAAACTATAAGCTTGCTTAAAATGTGAAATTTTAAAAAAATCTTTTAAACGTATTCTTTGAGACTCCTACATGCCTGTAATTTATTTCGGCCACGTCCATCTACCACTTCCTCCTCCACCTCCTCCCAGACCTCCCCTCTGACCCACATGCATTTCCCAGTTTCATGTTGTCTCTGTCTTTCAATAACCCTTTGATTCCAGTTAGCGCGCTGTTCACACACACACATATGGGTGTGGGGCCATCTATCACAGTATGGCCAACCTAGCAGAAAAACTGACTCTCCCTACCCCTCTCAGCCCAGCCATCAACTGGCCACAAGTCCTCAGTTTGGGGTGGAGCTCCTCCTTGCTCCCTGCTGGAATGTTGATTGGTTTGGTTTTGCGTGGGCAACCAAAGCTGCTGTGCATTTATAAGGGACGAGCAGGGAGGTCTCAAAAGAACAAGTGCAAATGGCTAAGAAATATTTTAAAATGTTTTCAACATCTTTAGCTCCCAGGGAAATGCAAATTAAAACTCTTCCGAGATTTCATCTCACCTTAGCCAGAACGGTTAAGATCAGAAAAACAAAACACAAAACAAAAATAAAACCCCGAAAAACAAGTGACAAACACTGGTGAGGATGTAGGGAAGGAGGAGCCTCATAACCGTTGGTGGGATTGCAAACTGATGTGGTCACTATGGAAATGAGGGTGGAGGTCCCTCTAAAAGCTAGAAAGAGATGTGACACAGCTGTGCCAGTCCTGGCCACGTACTCAACGGCTTCTCTATCTGCTGCAGAGACACAGGCTCATCCATGTTGACTACTGCTCTAGTCACAAAAGCTACGAAATAGGATCGGTCCAGATGTCCTTCAGCTGATGAATGGCTAATGAAAATCAGGTATATACATGTGATGGAATTTTATTCTGCTATAAAGAAAAAATAAAAGTTGTGGCTAACTGGATGGAACTGGAAAAAAAAATCATACTGAGAAGTTAATATAGGCCCAGAAAGACAAACACCACATATTCTCATTCATGGATACATGTATATATGTATATGTATGTATGTATATATATATATATATATATCATATATATATATATGTGTATATGTATGTATGTATATTCACATCTTGAGTGTGAGAGGCCGGTGTCATGTTGCAGTGTCAAAGGCTGGGCATCTATACACTGTCTTCTTGCGATTTTCATAATGGAGAAGAAAGGCGCCTCTTCGCTCCGCTCTCCATATGACTGAATAAATAAGATTAGCAGACACTGACATAGAATTTATTCTCTACTTTATTTATTTATTTATTTATTACTTTATTTATTCTCAAATGTCACCATGTGGCAACCATGTATGCTGCCTTCCAGCTCTGCTTGGTTTTTCACCTGATGACGGAACACAGATCCCTTGCTTCTTATGCACCACAAAACCTTGTGGGCAATTTTCCCCCCTCTCTCTGGCCACTCTGCACACCTCCCTCCTGACCTATCTGTGCCTGTTAGTTGGGACTGAACTCTGTTCTAGTTTCTCTGGTTGCCACCCAGGCTAGCCTCTCTTCAACCCCTCTTTTCATCAGGATGCCTACAGTCCTGCCACCAAGTCAGCCTGCTCCCCTGAGCTTTCTTACCTGACAGCGCAGAATGGGTTGGAGCTCAATCTTCACTTCTTTTTTTGCCCGGAAGTATATCTGAACAGTTAAGGGCTTATCTGATGAGGTCAGTGTCCCTTTTATGGGTATGATGGAGATCATCGAACTTAAATTTGCTGGCAAAAACCCTAAGTTGTCCACAGAGAAGCTGGAAGACAAGAACAAAGAGTCAGTTTAAACCATTATTCAGGGAACCCATGATGCCACAGAGGACAGTTTGATCTCTTGGGGGCATTCCTGTCTCTGCCCCTATGGAGCTATTCATGCCAAGCAAAGTCTGCTATGCTTTTCTGTGTATATTTGTGCATACATGTGTGTATTGTTGTAGGTACAGATACATATGAGCACAGGTGCGGCGGAGGGTAAATACCAGGGGTCATTCCTGAGACTATGGATGACTCATTCCTGAGTCATCCATCTTTTCTTCTCCTTCTTATTCCTCCTCTTCCCCTTCTTTCCCTCCTCCCCCCCCTCCTCCCTTTCCTCCTTCTAGTCCTCCTTCCCCTCCTTTTCCTCCTCCGCTCCTCATCCTTCTTGGAAACGGGTTCCCACACTTACTATGAAGCCAGGGCTGACTTTCAACTTCTGGTCCTTCTGTCTCCACCTGAATGCTACTCCACCCTGTTCACATGGTGCTGGTGATCAGACCCAAGGCCTTGCATTTGTCAAGCATTCTACCAACTGAGCCACCTCCCAGTGCCAGGCTTTTGCTTGTTTGTTTTGTATGTGTGCCTGCATGTGTGTGGTTCATGTGCATGTATGAAGAGGTGCGTGCAGATAAGCATGCCTGTGTCCACATGCTGTGTGTATGCAGGCTTGAGGTCACTGCTAAGTGTCTTCCTTGATTGCTCTCCACCTTAGAAGACGGGGTCTCTTGGGGAACCCACTGCTCAGCAGACTAGCTAGACTAGCTGGCCAGAGCTCCAGAGATGCACCTCCTAGGCTGGATTATGAATGCCTGAACTTTTAATGTGGGTCCTGGGGATCTGAAGTTGGGTCCTCACACCAATAGCAGGCACTTTACTCACTGAGCCTGCTTCCGGTTTCTTTAGAGCACATTCCCAGAGTGAATGGGGAAAGCTGCAGCACGCCCCTGGGACTCTGGCATTACCTGTACATGATCTCATACTTCCCACGGTTCTTCAGCTGAAGGAGCTGCTTCATCTCATCCATGACCTTCACAGTCCCAAAGTCCAGACTTCCTTCAGCTCCTGCAGAAGCCAGAGAATGGGGTAAGGGTGAGTGGGTAAGGGAGCTGGAGTGGGGGCTTCCTTCTGAAGTTCACACGGCCGATCATCCCACAGTGATGACTTTGGAGAACTTCTTTTCTGGGGACTCTGTGGCCAGACACACCCTTTGTGACTAAGCCTGGACAGGGAAAGGGAAGCCTCCTGGTGCAGCCACAGACCTCCCTTGAGATTCCACCCCCAGGGGCCACTGTCTTGTCGTAACTATCATTAGCTAAACTCCCTAGGATCTTTATTTGTATTTATTACTATTATTTCTAATTATGTGTATGTATGTGTGTCTGTGTGTGGGTATATATGTATGCAAATGAGTGCAGAGGCCAGAGGTGTGGGATCTCCCTGGGGCTGGAATGACAGCAGCCTGACATGGGCACTGGGAATCAAACAAACTTAGGCTCTCTGGAGGAGCAGGATTTTTTTTTTTTTGACAGGGTTTCTCTGTGTAGCCTTGACTTTCCTAGAACCCACTTTGTAGATCAGGCTGGCCTTGAACTCACACACATCTGTCTGCCTCTGCCTCCTAAGTGCTGGGATTAAAGGTGTGTGCCACAATGTTTGGCATAGTGTGTGTTAAGGAACCATCTCTCCAGTTCTCTAGGATCTTTTAAAAACTGCTCTATTTATTTTTATTTCACATGTGTCTGTATATTATATAGAGTGGACCCCTTCAGAAGCCAGAATAGGACATTGGATCTCCTGTGACTGAAGTTCCAGGTGGGTGTTGGGAATCAAACCTGGGTCCTCTGAATCATTAGTAAGCACCTTTAATTAATTTTCTGAGCCAAATTTTGAGAATTTGACAGTTACAATACTGGAAAGATATAATTTGGTTTTGTTTTACTTAGTGTTACAGTATAAAAATTCCTTCAGATTATTAAAACTTTTCATAAATGCAATCTTAGTGGTCACTAGGATACACTTTTTAGTAACTAACAAAACTACTTCTACAATAACACTATTTTATTTTTGACAGGTGCTTTTCATTGTAATGCTGCAGCAAAGATCTCTGTACATTAAGACAATGGCACCCGACTAAAATATAGCTCTAATAACCTTGCTGAAAAAGAGAGCTGTCAGGGATGGGAGATGTCATGGAGGATCAGATGCTCAGGGGAGATACACAACTCAGGCCTTATGGCAGCATGCTAGGTAGGATGCCTCAGGGTACCCATTCTAATCTCTGGGATCTGTGAATGTGTGACAAAGGGGACTCAAGGTAGTGGATGGACTTGAGGCTGGTGATCAGCTGCCATTACATATGAAGACTGACACGGATTACCCTGGAGGCCCAATTTAACCACAAGGGTCCCTATAAAAGTAGAGGGGGGGCAGCAGAAGTGGGAGAGCCGGCGAGACGGCAGCATGACAAGGGCTTGCTTGCAGATTGCTGGCTTTCGAGATTTAGGAAGGGAACATGAACCAAGGGATGTGGGTGGGTGGTCTCTAAGGCTGCAAAGCTTTCAAGAAGGAAGGCTTTGATATCCACCTACTGAGACCCAGGAAGACCTGCTTTGAACTGACCTCATGACTAGAATACACCATGGGGTTTTTCTCTTTCTTTGATTCTTTCCTTTTTTCCTTCCTTCTTTTCCTTCTTTCTTTCCTTCCTTCCCTTCCTTCCTTCCTTCCTTTCTTCCTTCTTTTATTCTTTCCTTCCTTTCCTTTCTTCGTTCTTTCTTTTCTTTCTCTTTCTTTCTTTCTTTCTTTCTTTCTTTCTTTCTTTCTTTCTTTCTTTCTTTCTTTCTTTCTCTTTCTTTCTCTCTCTCTCTCTCTCTCTCTCTTTCTTTTTTTTTCTTTCTCTTTCTGAGACAGGGTTTCTCATTAGGTAACGCAGACCGGCCTTGAACTCAGGAACTTCCTGCCTCAGCCTCGTTAGTAGCTGTACTTTGTGCTAGCTCAGGAGGTTTGTAGCAACCTGTTATGGTAGTGCTAGAAAACTAATGTGGCAGGAAGAGAAACCTTGACTGTCAGCTTCTCAGAGAAGAGCTCTGAAGATCTCACACGGATGACAGCCATCTGTTACCCTCTACTGAGAATGCTGGGAATTTTATTGATGTTGCCAACACCATTCTAGGCTTGTACTACCAAAATTGTTTTCTACCCCAGCAACCCTGGCCACCACACTAACAACATGTGAGGGTCCGTCCACCCAGAACTCTCCAGAACAGAGACTATACATATATATATCATCCCCTTTTCAAGGGCTCAACACACCTTTGGGGAAGGTGATGTCCAAAGCAATATCATATGATTCTGCAAAGAGCAAGATGTTTTCGAGCTGAACAACACCAACAAGATTCTCCGCATCTAAGACCTGCAAGAGAAAGAGGATTTCCTCAGGGAAAGCCAAGACCCACAGAGTATCTGGAGTCTGAAGACTATGTAACATGTAGTGGGAATTGGGCAGCCGAGATGGCAAGCAAATGTTTCTGAGAACTTTAAAGTAAGTATTTTCTAATGTTACATTTTAAGTCGACTTGCTCTACTCATTATATAAATTGGAGCTATTCTATTCTTTGTGACCCAGTCTATAGAAAAAGGACCACATTCTTCACATAAAGTACGTAATGTTTCTGTTTCAGAAATTTCTGATATTTTAGACGTGTGATCACAATTACCTTCAGATCTGTGGCCTCTAGTAGCTCACTGATCCTGTTGCTATCACTGTTGGGGGCCCTTCCTTAGTGCCTCGAAGAGTCACTGAGCTGGTTCCAGCTGGCAGGCCAACCTAATTCTATCTAGTTGACTGCTGACCAGGAGGTTATCAAAGGTCCACCAGTCAGGGAAAGAGCTTATGGGGTAATCCAACACTCTGGCATCTAGGTGGAGACCTGTGCCATCTTGTTGAAGACTCTAGTTGAAAACCAAAGCCACCACTTTGCATTCCATGAGCAAGGGAAGATTCACAGCTGCCACGCAATTTAAGATCGTTAAGAAATACAGCTTTAAAGTCATATGTGTGTGGTTGTGTGCATGTGGGTGCAGTTGCTCACAGAGGCCAGAAGAGGGTGTTAGATCTGCAGAGCTGGAGTTGCAAGCTCTTATGAACCATCCAACACGGGTGCTGGGAACTGAACTCTGTTCCCCTGTAAGAGCAGTAATTATTCCTAACCACCAAGTATCTCTTCAGCCCCCAACTATTAATTCAGAATTTCTCTTTTCCTTCAACACACATTTGGCAATATAGTTGGATCTGTGGGTGGAGAACTCATGAGTACAGAGGTCTTCCTGAATACATCTAAAAGAGCTTTGGAGAAGACATACAGGAGAAAGCCTTCTGATGACAGGGACAAAGGTTGGAGGGATGAAGGCACAAGCCATCATGCATACTCCTAAGCCTCAGAAACTAGAAGGGACAAGGAAAGATTCTCCCCTGGAGCCTTTAGAGGGGCTCATTCCACACTGAGTATCCTGTTTTTAGAAGTAAGAAATGAGCTCTGAGTGATACTGCTGTCCACAGGGATGCCAGTCCTCACCTCGATCCGAATGGCCTTCTTGATGTTGATAGGTTTGGTGGGCTGGAAGTGCACCTGCAGCCCAAACTCCCCCTTGGCTGGGATGATGCCCTGCAGCACGGACACAGTGAAGTCCTCGCCTAGGTGCTCCAGGCTGGAGATCCGCCAGGCCACAGCGAGGGGTGTGACATTGCGGAGAATCACAGCCTTGGTCTCTCTCCTACAGAAGGCGAAAGAAAGCTGATCAAGTTCAGATAATCTTTCAAATGTCAGTTTCTCTTTCACTGAAGTTATATAATAGGGAGAAGGGTCAATAACTTTTATTTTAGTCTTGTTATGTAGCCTTGGATGTCCAGGACTTGCTATGCAGACCAGGCTGGCCTTGAACTTACAGAGACACACCTCCCTCTGCCTCTGCAGGGGCTATGGGTGTGTGCCAGCACTCTTGGCCTCACAGTTTCTCTTTGGAGGGTCATTGTGGAAATATTCCCTAACTTTCCTTGCCGTTTAAAATCGAAGCTGCTTAATTCATGAGGGATGGGAAGGTTTCCTTGATTTTAATTTTTTTTCCATGAACAAGCTATCTCAAATGAACTCAAATTAACAACATTTAAAACTTAGAGAGAAAAGTTGTGCTAATCCTTCTTTATCTACTTGATTTTGCTTCCTTGTAGCTACATATTCTCATTTTCTTCCTTATCATTTTTAGAACAATTTGAAATTAAACTGCAGCTAATTATATCTTTAAATCATTTGGTTATCTATACTTATACACACACACACTTACATACTTATAGCTTTAAATGTTTTTCTAAGAATGAGAACACTCTCTAAAACAAGGCTTTTCACCATCATAAAAGCTATTATTTGGTCTGTAGTCCATGGTCAACTTCCATCCGTGCTGTATTGCTTGTCAACCCCTCTTTATTTTGCCCAGTCAAGGAATCAACCCACAATCATGTATTGTGTGTAACTGTAATGCTTCTTTGGAAAATGATTTCTACCTTTCTTTAGGTTTCTTAGCTTTGACGTTTTGGATAGCACAGGTCAGTTCATCTGTTGGCTCTTACTTAAGTCAGGTGGTCTGATGATTTTTCACGCTTAGACCTTTTGGAAGGAAATGAGTTGCACGCTGCGTCCTTTTCACTGTATTGGGTCAGGAGACCCCTTTAGTGCTAACTGTTCTGATTTTAGTGTTGCTACATTTGGTACCTTGGTTAAGGTAAGGCCTACCTAATCCTTTTACCATGTATGTGTTTTTTTTTTTTTCCTTTTTAATTCATATTTTCTGGGGAGATACTCTGAGAATATACCTGTTTATTTTATTGATACAGAGCCTTATATTTTCCAATTCTTGAATTCACTGTTTAATTGAGGCTGACCTTGGGCTCCTGGTTCTTTTGCCTCCACCTATCAATTACCAGGACTACAGGCTGTATCACCATACCTGGATAAATGCCCTTTTCTTAGCCAAGCAGGCACACACTAGCTTTAGCACCCAGCAATCATTTTCTATCACAATCAATCTTTCTATATTTAGTTGATATTTTGTTATCAAGAACTGAATTTCATTATCTCATGTGTTTGTTTATATACTTATGCCTGTAGAGTTATGATTCTCATTAAATGTGTTATAGATCAGTGGTTCTCAACTGTGGATCATGATCACTTTTGGGGTTGAATGGCCCTTTGCACAGGGGTCATCTGAGACCATCAGAAAACACAGATATTTACATTACGATACATAACAGCAGCAGAATTACAGCTATGAATTAGCAACAAAAACAATTTTATGGCTGGGGGTTACTACAACATGAGGAGTTGTATTAGGGGGTTACAGCATTCAAAAGGTTGAGAACCACTGTCATAGATTATTATAATTATAGCATTATTTTATTTTGACTTTCAAACAGTCTCAGACTTGGCTGGTGGGAGGCCCTTTGAGTTGGTGCTTATGTTTATGTGCCTGCGGGTTTTAAAGTTCCTTATAGTACAACAAAAAAGTTTCCCAATCAGCTGGAGTTTCCTTCCTCTACTTTACCTGCTTCAGGATCAGAAACATCCTTTCATCAAAGATCCTTGCCATTTACCGGAGAGACCAAAATCTGGTTGGTGGGGTCCTCAGTTCTACTGGCGTACCACTGTTCCCAAGCACTCCTAGATGACAGAGCTAGGAAGTCTGTGTATGTTTCTATACATATCTGTATACTGAAAACCTGGAGTTTATACTGACACCTCTAATTCCAATTCAACAACTAGATACACTTAGAAAGGTTTGTGTATGCAATGGCATACTTGTGGTGGTCACAGGACAACTTGTGGGAGTCTGTTCTCTCTCTCTACCATATGGGACCTTGGGATCAAACTCAGAGTATTAGTCTGTTGGAAAGTGCCTTCATCTGTTCTGTCATCTTGCTGGCCCACCAGACACATTCAAATCTCGTCAACAAGGAAAAAATCTGTCTGCAATTTAATTATGCCACGGTAAGAAAATATACTCTAAATTATTTCATTAAGTTGAAATTTAATGAGCCTTGTTTTATGTTGCAGCACTGAATTTTTTAAGTGTGCTTACAATAAATATGTATTTTATAGTTGACAGGCACTCAAACAACTGTAAAGGGGGATATTGGAAGGAAAATTTTAGTCTGAAGAGTAGGATAAACACATTGAAGACATCACATGGAATAAATAAAAGATGCTAAGGCAACTAATCAAAAGAAGTCTAAGGACACAACAAAGTTAAAAAAACCCAGGAATTAATGTACATAATTCAATAATAAGTCTTAATATTAGTGGTCTCAATTTTCAAATAAAAAGACACTGACAAGCAGATTAGATTAGAAAAGAATATCTGTCTTTTTGCTGCTTCCAGGAAACATACTTCACAATGAAATAAAGATACTACCTTAGAGTTAAAGAGTAGAAAAAGGAATTCCAAGAAATGAAACTGAGAAACAAACAGCCATAGCTCCTCTAATATATAATGAAACAGATTTCAAATCAAAGATAAGACAGATCACTTCATACTCATTAAAGGAAAGAAAAGAAAGGCAGCAGGAGAGAGAAAAAGAGACAACATGAAGTTGGGTGGGTAGAGAGATGGAGATAGAGCTGAGAGGAATTGGGGGAGGGAAAATAAATGATCAAAATATATTTTATGAATTAAAAAAATAAATCCACAGATTAACTCTAGCACAGTGGTTGTTGGTGACTTCAATACCATACTCTCACTGATAGGTCATCTGAACCCCAAAATAACAGAAACATCAGAGTTAAATGACATCATAAATTGGGTGGAACAAACATTCCATTCCACCCAATCCCTAAAGATGACACGTCTTCTCAGGAGACCATGGAACTGCCTCCAAAGCTGACCACATATTAGGATGCAAATCAAGTCTCAACAAATAAATAACATTCTGAAATGACATTCTACATTGTAACTGAACACAACAAAATCAAGCTGGATATCAATTGCAGTGGGAGCCACAGAAAGTACATAACACATGGAGACTGAATAACACACTGCTGAATGACAATTGGGTCAAGGAAGAAATCAAGAAGAAAATTATTATTTCCTACAACTGAATGAAAATAAAAACACAACTTATCAAGGATCTATGCGACCCAGGGAAGGTGGCCTTAAGGGAAAAGTTGATAGCACTAAATGCCTACATAAAAAATTAAAGAGGTTTTATATTAATAAATTGATGTTGAACATGGAGGCTTTGGAATAAAAACAAACAACACCAAAATAGTATATGGGAAGAGATGGTAAAAATCAGAAACAGGCTCTCCCCTGTTTCCATGTCCTGGCTCATGACTCCTGCAAGGTTCACTGCTTTACCAGCCATCACTCCTGGAACTCTAGGTAGGACCCTGCCCACAGTCCACCAACACTCCTTAGAGCCCATCCAAATACCCCAACAGCCCCATTTCCTCTCATTTATGTGTCCTGTCCTACAACTCTGGCAGAATTCCACTGTTCTACCAGAGGCCATGCTGGTGCCCAGAACCTCAGGTAAGACCCTGCCTACAGCCTGTCAACACTCCTTAGAGCTTACCTGTTTTCCTCAACAGCACCACCTCCCCTCAGCTCCATATCTTGGTCCATGACTCCAGCAGAAGCCTACTGTTCTACTGACGATATACTGATATCTAGAACCCAGAAGCCCCCTGCTCTACAAGAGGCTATGCCTGTACCTTGAACCATAGGGGCTACTCAGGTACTCAAAACCCCAGAGACCATATCAGCTCCCAGAATCTCAGAGGCAACACTGTAGAAGGAATCTCTTGTGTATTATATGGATGTCAATTAAAAAAAAAACCTATGGCTTATATCTTAGGCAGGAAATAGGAGGTGCAACATCCAGTAGGCAGAGGAATTCTGGGATAGAGACAGGTGTAGGAAGTTTCAGCTAGCAAGATGTGAAGAAGATGGACTTCTAGTATCTGAGCTCAGGTAACCAGTCACGTGACAGAATGCAGATTAGTATAATGGGTTATTTTAAGTTATGAGCTAGTCAAAGAAGAGCCTTGCTATATGGCCTAAGTATTTTTATAATATTTAATGAATCTAATGGGTTGTTATTCCAGGAGCATAATGACAAGAGGAAAAAAACCACCCACCGCACATCACTGGTGCCCGAAGCACCAATGGTCATTCAGGCTGCCAAAACCCCAGCGGAGACACCCTACTGGACCTGAGGACTCACTCATCACCAGAACCACAGGCCACTCAGGCCAGAAGACCAGAAAGGAAATGGAACCAAAGGGGGGAAAAAATCCATCCAATAAAGATAAACCCAGAAAACAGTACCTAAATCTATAATTACCTCAAACACAGATACTTAGATGCCAGTGTAAGAACACCATCAACAACAACCAGGGCAATGTGGCACCACACCCAGCTATCCTATTACAGCAAGCCCTGGATATTTCAACACAGTTGAAGCTCAAGAAAATGACCTTAAAACCAGTTTTATGAAGATGACTTAGACCCTTAAAGAGAAAATGCATAAATCCATTAAAGGAATCTAGGAATATATAAACAATGAGAGGAAGCAAATTAATCCCTTAAAGAAAGCCAAGAGAGCCAAGACAAAGCAAACTGACCTGAAAATGGAAATACAAGCAATAAAGAAAATACAAATTTGAGAGAATCCTTGAGATGGAAAATCCAGGTAAGTAAATAGGAACTACAGATGCAAGAGAATACAAGAGACAGAAGAGAGAATCTCAGGTGTAGAAGATATAATAGAAGGGAGAGAGGACTTGGAGAGACAACTGGATTGTGGGGGCCATCTCAGAGATGAGCTAGAAACCCAGTACAATGGAAACTCCCACGAATCTCTGAGGGTGACCCTAGCTAAGTCTCCTAGTATTGGGGAATATGGAGCCTGACCCAGCTATCTCCTGTATCCAGGCAGGACTTCCAGTGGAGGGATTGGGACACTAACCCAGCCACAAAACATCTGACCTACAATATTTCCTGCCTGCAAGATGTGCTGGGGGTAGATGGGGCACAGAAATTGTGAGACTGGCTAACCAATATACGGTCTAGTTTGTGTCCCACGTAATGGAAGGAAGTCCACCCCCGGCACTCTCTGGAGGGTCAGGAACCACAGGCTGAATAACTCAGAGACCTGTAGAAGCACACATAACTAACCAAAATAAAATAAAATATCAATGACATGATCCCTAAAAATATTCTGTTGTACTCTTAGACAGGAGCCTAGCATAATCATCATCAGAGAGGCTTCATCCAGCAACTGATAGAAAGAGATGCAGAGGCCCACAGCCAGACACTAGGTGGACCTCAGGGAATCCTGTGCAAGAGGGGAGGAAGGACTGTAGGAGCCAGAAGGGTCAAGGACACCACAAGAAAACCCACAGAATCAACTAAGAACGCACACTTGGTACTGTTAACTGGATAGCACCCCTTGGCTGGCTAGGTCATAGGTTTTGGAGGAGAATGTAATACATTTATTTTGCTAAGTTGACATAGCAAATTGTTCTCTATGTTCTTACAGATGAGTGCATCTCTCAGCCCTCATCAAAGAAGATTCTTTTTTTTTTTTTTGCAGCAGATAGCAATTAATAAAGATCCATAATTGGTAATCATTCAGAGAATAAGATACTAAGGTTGCTCAGCTATAAATGTGGAAGCGGTTCCACACTGCTTCCTAGAAGGCTGACAGTTAATCTCAAAAGAGAAATTAGAAGAACAAGAAGTAGTGGAGATCAGTGGTGAAATATCAGCAGAGTATTGGTTGGAATACAGTGTTATTGTACCCATGAACTTATAGGTGCTGTGACTTCATGCACAAGAGCTGTACAAGATTAAGCCAGTCAAAATCCCAGCATGGACGGGGGAGGAAGCTCACAAAATCCTACTCTTAGCCAGGAACCTCTTGGCAACGGATGGCTTCTTCAGGGATGTGGCTTCTGAAAGGCTGCACACATGCTCCAGATGCTCCTACACCCATGCGCGGGTGACCAGCTTTAAGTGGACTCAGTAAGTCTAAACCCAGAGCTCTTGAAGTTGGGAGAAAATGTGGTGGTGAGGAGAGGGAAGACTTGGAGTGGAGGAAATGGAGCGGGGAGTGGATTTGTTCAAAACACATCACACACACAAAATTTTCAATAAAAATTAGAATAAAATACATTTAATTAGGTTAAAGCAGTTAATAGATCGTCCATGCTGAGCTTCTGACTCACTATTCTCTTAGCCTTTCAGATAAGGCTATTAATATATTTCTAACCATGGTCACAGACCCTTCATTGTTTTAGTTCTATTGGTTCTTGCTTTGTGTGTCTCGAAGCTCAGTTACTAGACACATATACATCCTGATGATTATATTTCCTTTTCTTAATGTCTTAAAACCTGTCATGTTGGGTGTTTTCTGTTTCTTTCTGCTTTTTATGTTCTCTTTCCTCTATTTTTGATATAATCAAACCATTCTTCAAGACATGATATTACTTGTTTGATGGCTTTTACTCATGTGAGTTAATGGGTTAAAATTCCTGTATCTGTCTTGTGATCCATTTTTCTATCAATTCTGGGAGATGATTCTGAGGAATGAATGATGGCAGGTGACTTGGTCTAATCTTCTTGTAAACCCAATGTCAGATCCAACAGACTAACGGTATTTCCTAAGAAAATGACCCCTGTGTTTGGAATGTTGGCAACGTCCCTAATTTAGGATTCTTTGTATAAACTCAGACCCTGAATATATGGCAATGGACTCCCTGGTGGTAGGTGAGTACTTGGCATGTAAAATGATAAATGTTTCCAAGCCAATTATTTTCTGTTGACTGAAGTTATCAAAAACACTTTCTTAGAGGCTGAGGTTTATTTGCTTTCTATTTATTTACTTATTTACTTATTTATTTATTTATTGTTTGTTTGTTTGTTTTTTTTGAGACAGGGTTTCTCTGTGTAACTCTGTCTTGTCCTGGAACTCTCTTTGTAGACCAGTCTGGTCTCTAGCTCAGAGATTCACCTGTCTCTGCCTCCTGAGTGCTGGGATTAACGGCATGTGCCACCACCACCTGGCTAAGGCTGAGTTATTAATTTGAGCCAGAAAGTGTAAGACTGATGTGAGCAGGAAGTGAGAGATCATGAAAGATGCCCCAGACATCTTTCTTCCTCTGTGTTTTGATTATCTTTATCTTTGAAATAATTAGCTGTTCTAGTTGGCTTTCTATTTCTGTGATAAACACTATGACCAAAACCAACCTGGAGGTGAAAGGATTTATTCCCTGGTTATAATCCATCATTAAGAAAAGTCAGGGCAGGAAGTCAAGGCAGGAACCTAGAGGAAAGAACTGAAGCAGAGACTATGGAGAAATGCTGCTTTCCTCGTTTGTCCCTTACGGCTTGCTCAGGCTTATTTTCTTACAAAACCCAGGACCACCTGCTCAGGGTGGTCCTGCCATAGTGAGCTGGACCCTCCCACATTAATCATCAATCAAGAAAATGCCCTGGAGACTTGTTATAAGTCAATGAGATGTAGGCATTTTCTCAGTTCAGCTTCTCTCTTCTCAGATGGCCCAAGCTTGTATCAGGCTGACCTGGACACTAGTGAAGTTTGGACCTATTTGCTGGCAGTCTGATTTGGTGACCCAGCCCTGAGAGGTGGTACATTATTATCACTTTGGCTGGTGTTATTTCTACATTACAAGTAATTCAAAGGGAATTAGAATGAAGGGAAATGACATCAGACAGAAACTCAGAACCACAGGAAAAAAAAGCATATGAAAAAAAATTCAAATATATGGGTGAATAGACAATCTTTGATTTTTCTTTTCTTGGTTTAATCAAAAGGCAAAGTATGGGCTGGGGGGACACGGACGCTCAGTGGCAGATTTATTTGCCTAGAAGGCACTAGGCTCTGAGTTGGGAGTTCAATTTCTAGTGACATACACACAAACAAACCCAAGAAACAAAGAGGCAACAAAAAACCCAGAAAGCCCAGCGTAGCTCAGGACCAGCTGATTACCTTAGAGTTAAGTGTTCTTGAAGTTCCCCGCCTGTCCCTGAGTTACCCAGAACTCTCACCTATGAAGCAAGAGCCTGTCAAAATGTAATTGCCTTGGCTCCAGCTCAATTTCTGGACGAATTCCTTGGCAGTGTAGCCTAAAGATGGCTGGCTCTGGGTTCTCCTTGATACAGCAGACAAGGCTGTCTTCACAGACACCGACTGCAGTAGGGTAGGCCCATACATTCACTATCTGATGGAAGAGTCAAAAGAAAGCCCATTTGCACCGAGTACATCAGGTTTTGACTTTCCCAAGACACCCTCACTCTGGTGGAATTTCACCCTTTGGTTGTACCTGCTTTTCGTTTGGCTTCAGAGTCATGTTGGAAGGCTCTAGGAAGTAGGTGTTTGCTTTGACATCATGCTGAAAACAGAAGTATGCCTCCACCACCATTGGAGAATCGTTCAGGATCGTCAGTGACTCCATGTTGCCAAGGAACAAGGCTGACTTATACCTGGAGATGGATGGGGGTAGGGATGGGGTTGTGAAGACTGAGTGAGAGTTCAGGCGTCAAAGGAGCCTATGAGGTGTGATGGAATTTGAAAGGGCGGTGTGACTGTGCTGAGACAATGGCACGTTGGCTAAGAGCATGACAGCTATGGTTGTTCACTTGCCTCTGGGAATACTGCACTGTGATGTGACCCCATAGGCCTTGGTCTTCCTATCTCTAAGATGAGGTGATGGTGTTGCTTAGGGTTGATTGGTAACAAGTGAGATTGTAAACTCGAAACTCTCAGAACTAATGGAAGTATCAAATGCCCTACAAATGGCAGTTATTCTTAGTTCTTAGCAAAGAACTCCAAGAAAAGTGACTATCTATCTTTGTATTCCCTTGAGAGATTATCATTTGGATCACCTGTCTTAGAGATGATCCCATTTACCTTTTTCTACTGTTACTGGTTCGACATGAATTTATCTGGCCTTGTTCAGATGACTAGTTTGCTTCTGCTCCCTAATGCCCTTGGAGGAATGTGTAGAGGTAAGCACCAGGGCTATTGGAAGACATTTTGTTAAAGGCAATGAACAGAAAAGGAACCACTGAAGAAGGCTGGAGAAATTACAGATGCATCATCAGAGGCCACAGCCCGGGCCAGAAAAGCAGAGACAGTCTGAGAAGAGCTTTGAGCAGGCTGTGATGGAGGATGGAAGGAGAGAGAATGACCGGTTCAAACTGGAGTGTCACAGTTAGGCAACTCTATGTGAGTAACTGGGAAAGGGATGGTGACCTCAATGTCATAACTGTCAGAATCTGGCACTAAAGAGTTCTTGTTTGTTACTCAGTTTTCACAAGCCTGTGAGGTCGACACCATTGTTTTTGCTGACAGGTTCAGCAGGCTTAAGTGAGTGAGTGAAAGGCATTTGCACTGTGTCTTGTTTTGGACCATAATAATCCCTGTTGTTAATCCCATTGCTTCCCAACACACACACACACACACACACACACACACACACACACACACACACAC